TGTTAATTTTAATATGTTTTGTGAAATTAACCATAGTAATGATAATGATAATAATGATGATGATGATGATGTTGTTGAAAAAAATATCATCGAACCAATGACAACAACAACAACACACATCATGTATAATACCAATCAATCAGTCGAGACAATGTCGTCGTCATCGTGATCGTCTTGTGTATGGTTTGTGTGTGGGTGCTATAACCAGATGTTCTGGTTATGTCGACGTTATTTTTTTTTGCGTTTGGATTTTTTATTTCTGCTTTTTTTTTGGTTGTCGTTATCATCAATAATCATATAGTGCACAATTGGTAATAATGATGTGTATGCATACACATTGCATACGATTCGAAATTGAATCCAATGAAATCTCTAAAAAAAAAGAAAGAAAAATTTTTCATTTTATTTCTTCGGTCTGGTCTTGGTTCTCTCCTTTTTTTTCTGAGTGTGTGATATCCGTTTTTTACGGCCTTAAATATTATTGAAAGAGTAGTGGTTCGTATTGATAATCTGGTTTGTTATTTTTGTTTCATTTCATTTTTTTGTTATTGGCTGTCCGTATAGTCGTTGTTGTTAGTTGGTGATGGTTACGTGTTGTTGTTGATTATCTTATAAATTGCTCGTGATTATTATTGATATTAGGCTTCTTTTTTCTTGGATTAATGATTAGGATTTCTGTTTTTTTTTCTCTCTTTCTCATCTATCATCATCGATTGATTTGTTCGTTTGTTTGTCTTTATTTTTTTATTATTGGTTGATATGGATTTGTTTATTTGCATGCATGGTTTTTCCTCGATTTGTTTTGTGTAGATTCTTTTATGTTTTTAAATTCTGTTTTTCATTTTTTATTATCATCAACGTCCAACCAATAACTTAAATACACGACTAAAATATTTTTTTGTCCAATAAGTTTATCATCAAATAAAACGAAAGAGTTGTATGTTTTTTAATTGAAAAAAAATTCATCAATGAAAATTGCACCGAAAAAAAAATAAAGATTCCCTTGTATTTGAATCCAAAAGGCTGGCGTGTTTTTTTGGCTTCTGGTTTATCTATATATAATAATAATAAGAATATGAATCATTGATTAAGAGAGAGAGAGACAGAAAGAATGTGTTTTTGAACTGGTGTGCAATGAATCAAAGAAGAAGAAAAAAAGAAAGAAAAAGGTAAGGTCAGTGTACCTGGACGCTTTCAACCAGTTCATAACATATAAAATACACACACACACACAATCCAATCCTATCTATACGTTCATCTTCGTTTCGAATAGAATCCATGGTTAGTAAAAAAAAAGATATTGAAATTAACTAACAAATAATGGTGTCTTATATCTTTTCTTTCTTTCTTTTTTTTTTTGATAGTAAATTCTATTCTTTATGTGTGTATGGTTGATGCAATCATTGATACAGTAGTGGTTACAGGTTGTTTTTATTCAATTTTTTCATTTGATGATCTGATTGCAATTGCTTTTTTTTCATCTTATTCTTGTTGCTGCTTACATGTTTGTTATGATTGGTAGTTGTTGTTGTTGCAGCAACAACTTTTTATCGCTCTTATTCCAAGAAAAAAAAAAATGGTGGTTGATGATGATCATTATCAAGAAAAAATCAAGATCATCAAGTTCTTTTTTGTGGTGGTGATTGGTTATAGCTTGTTAGAACAAAAAAAAAAAAAAAAAAAAAAAATATCATCAATATCCATACCCCCACTACTAAATGATGATGATATATGAACACTTGTTACTTTGATCATCATTTTCATATCCAAAATAGCCATGATCTTCATATTGATGGTGGTGGTAGTTTTTTTTTNAAAAATATCATGGTTGATGATGATCATTATCAAGAAAAAATCAAGATCATCAAGTTCTTTTTTGGGGTGGTGATTGGTTATAGCTTGTTAGAACAAAAAAAAAAAAAAATATAATATATCATCAATATCCATACCCCCACTACTAAATGATGATGATATATGAACACTTGTTACTTTGATCATCATTTTCATATCCAAAATAGCCATGATCTTCATATTGATGGTGGTGGTAGTTTTTTTTTTGATGAATATACATGTATGTTTAAAGTGTTCGAAGTCCAAACGATCGATCGACTTATTTTTTCTTATTATTCGGGTAGTGGTAGCCGTAATAATCATTTGCTGTTTTCGACATGTGTATTTTTTGAATATCAACCAATTTCTATAATGGATCAGGAGAGATAGATGGTCAATTTGTTGTTGTCCGTCGTCGACATAGTCGAAATGAAAATGCCGCGCTCTACAGATATTCGACAAACCAACCAAAGCTATTAATATGTTTTGAAGAAGAATATTATGAGCTACTAAACAACATTGAAAAAAAACTGGTTTCTTTTTCCTCTATGTGTATGTGCTCTTTATGAAAATCTTTCGAAGCTCGCGCGTTAATTACAACATTGGCTATATATACCATCATTGCTGCGCTTGTTGAATATGCATTCTATACAGAAGAATGTGTAATGTTGTTGTGTAGAGAAAAAAAACAAAAATATTTTTACAAGCTTCAATAGATTTAAGTGTGGTGTTTTTTTTTGGTGGCATGTGGATAAAACTATTTTGGACTTTTTTTTTTGTTTCTGAACGCGGCATTTTTTCAAAATTTTTATTTTGTTTAAACCAATAGCAGAAACAGCAACAACAAAAACAAGACTTGTTGGACAACAACAACAACAATTGAATATATTTGGATATATACCATTTTTATTTTTTTTTTTTCTAAACCAACAAATTCACTGATATAAGGGAGAGAGAGATCATCATCATCATGAAAGAAATGAACTTTTGCGCCTCTTAAATTTCGGGTTTCGATCATGATCACATCTCATCGTTTGTGAATACAAACTTGCTTTTTTTGCGGGCAAGTTTGGATTTCGATGTTATATTCCACACTGTGGATGATGATGGTGTAGTTTGGTTAGTTTCTTTTTTCCCCTACATTTGATTTTTGTTTGTTGTTTTTGATACCATTATAAAGAATTTTTTCTGCTGCTGCTGCTGCTTCTGTTTGTTCTTTGGTCATATACCAGTTCGGTACTGAATTTGGTGGTTAGTTTTTTTCTTTGGCCATCCGATATACATGCATTGGATTGAAAACAAGAAAGAATAGAGAAAAGATCGATGATGAAGAAATCATTTTCAAGTATACTTATCTTTGTTTGTTGTGTTATGTTTGTTTGTTTGTTTATAGATGATCATGGATAGAGAGTATGGATATGGATAATATATGCTGCAAGGTGAAAACACACACACACAAATATTAAATAGATGGGATCAATGATATAATCATTTATCATTGTGGCAATGAATGGTCCCAAATGACAATAACCTATGTTCGTCGGTTTATCTTATTTTTATTTTTTGTCCTGTTATATTTATCCCAAATCATTATTATCTGGCTAGACATTTTCTTGAAATTATTATTGTATTTTTTTTTCTTCTTTCTATTTCTCATGTCAATATTTGTGTGTGTGTGTGTGTGTGTGTAAGTGTTCGAAAGAATATTCTTTATTTGCCTCTACATTCAGATTCTACGAATGAATTTTTCTTTCGTTTTTTTTCTTTGGTTAAAATCAAAAATATATTTTAAACAAAACGAAAATCTTTTCATATTCCAAAATGACGCCTGGTATTTTCAGTTTAATAAGCAAAAAATCATTTGGTAGTAGCAATATTCAAAGAAGAAATATATTCAATATTCATTATTTTTGATTCAATTCTTTTTTTTCGATTTGATTTGATTTGATTTTTTTTTTTGAATTTCGTTTTGTTTCTGATTCTTGTTGTTTAGATGTCGAAAGAGAGGTTTCTCTCTTTTTGTCTTTGATACTGATTCAGTTCATCTTTTTTTTTGTGTTGATATTTTTGTTTGGTTTGATATGGATTTATAAATAGAAACCATTTTCTTTTGTATATATGTGTGTGTGTTTGTTTTCATTGATATTTAGCAACAAACAAACCGAAAAATACAGAATGATGATTATGATGATGATGATGATGATGGCAAATAAAATAATAGCACATTGTCGCTGATATTCGAACCATTTTTTAGTATTTAACGTTATTTGAAAAGAATTTTTTTTGTTGTTCCTTCTTTCTGTGTTTCATTTGAAGATAAAATTTCATTCAAAAAAAAATCAATGATAATGGAGAGCATGCTGAAATTATGAATAATTTTGATGATATTGATTCTGGTTTATATTTAAATGATTTACATGTGTCAATCAATATTTGTCAGTTAGTTTAGTGAAGTTGATTTTTTCTTTACTTTGAAAATTTTGTTTGTATCGAATCGATTGATTTTAATAGAATTTTTTTTCTCTTTTTTTTAAATCAAATATATAGATTGATATTCTTTAAAATCATCATTTGGTCATCGATAATCCTCGAATCGTAATTGTATCAATTCATCTTTATTCGAATCGAAATTCGAGTCTCTTTTTTTTTAATTAACAACATGAAAAAATAAATAACCGAAGAAGTAGAAGCGTTTATGTGATACTTGAAAAACAAAATTTTATGATTTTTTTATTGTTGTTGTCGTCGTAAGCATCGTTTATCGTAATTCATTGAAACGTCGATATATTTTTTTTGTTTTGTTTTTCAAGTGTCCCATATTTTCTTTTCGTTCGTTTGTTTGCTACATCTACGATTACTTTATATTGAATTTTCATTTTCTTCAATCATTTCATATATTCAAATCAAGATTTGTTTCTCTCTTTTTTTTCCTACATAAATTACTATTGAATTTGGCCAATGGTTTCGATTTTAACAACACGATCAAAGATTTTATTCTTATCATCATCATCATCAACGACGACATTATTATTATCATTGTCCTCAAATTTATCATCATCGTCATCATCATTTTCGTTGTTTAATCCATATAATTATTTAAATAATAATAATAATAATATAGTATTTATTCAACTAATAACATTCGTTGTCGTTGTCAACAACGAACAAAAACAAATCCAACAACAACAACAACAACTTCAAAAATATCAAAACAAAAATGAACATTCTTGACAAACAATCACCAACACAAGCATCATCGATAACAACATCGACAATAACATCAACAACGACAGCAACATTGGCTTCAACGGGGGCGGTGGCGCCGTCATCTTCTACATCTACATCAACAACATCGAATACAAATACAAATAATAATAATATTGGTCAACAATTATCGAATAATAATAATAGCAATAATAATAATAATAATAATTCTGGTAATGGCCAGAATTGTGCCCCTGGAAATGGTGGCAATAATCACAATAATAATGGTAATAATAACAATGGTGGTGGAAATGGAACAACACCATTACAACCACCGCCGCCACCATCTCTTCCATCATTATCACAATGTTCATCAGCTACCGGTGGAAGTGGTAGCGTTGGACAGCCATCAACACCATTAACACCATCTTCATCATCATCATCACAGGATTGTCTTTTATCGAACAATCAGTTAATATCATCAATGTCTATGACTAGTACTGGTGGTGGTCAACAAGGACCATCATCAGTGTCATCTTCGTGCAGTGCGCCACATACACCATTAGATAGTTTACAAGCATCTATCAATAGTCAATCTGATCCATCATCAACATCAACATCATCAATAACGACAAATAGTGGGCTACAACGGCCAACAAATGTATCGACGCCATCATCTGTATCATTCACCAATAACAATAATACGAATAGTGCACCAAGTACACCTGCATCAATGATTCAAGGTGGTGGCTGTCCACCTTCGGTTGGTTCTCAGAATAATGATAATTTATCGATGACACCGATGATCGGTTCACCATCGCTCAATCAATTAACACCAACTGGTGAATATACGCCAGTTTCTTCACAATCACCATTCGCCAATAGCCAACAACAACCAAACCAAACAAACAGTGCCAATACATCCACAACATCGACATCATCAACGCCAAATTTATTATCATCATCACCATTGAGTGTTCATCAACCATCATCCAACGTAGATAATCAAATATGTAACAATACCAATATTAATAATGGTAAAAACAAAACGATAAATAATGGCAACAATGGTGGTAATAATAATCCAAACAAAAAACATTGCAATAATCGAAATAATAATAATAATGTTAACAATAATCCTAATGTCCCGAATAATCTAATGTCCAACAACAATAATGGCATTGGTATTATGGGCATGGGTGTTCCATCGAATAATTTTGCAATGAATCAACCGCCGCCACCTATGCATCCACAGCATCCATCACAAATGTCGATGAATCCAAATAGTTGTATGGGCGGTGGAATGGCCTTAGGTCCCAACAACAATAACATGTCCGGTATGATGATGGGTGATAATAAAAATCAAATGAATCATTTTTCATCAATGACGCCACCTCACAATCCACTATCAAACAACAATCAAATGCCTTGTGGTGGTATGCCTAATGGTATGTCATCATCCTCAGGACCACCGCCACCACCCGGTATGTTAAATGGTAGTATTTCACCATTCGATGTTGATTGTGGGCCCAAAACAATGTCACAATTTCCTAATGAATTTAGTCCAAATTTATCTGGTAAGTTTTTTCGCTTATTGTCCGGATATGGAATAATTATAATTTTATTACTTTAGATGGTTGTGGACCACCGCCATCGATGCCAAACTCTTGTCCTCCTCCTCGAATGTCATTGTCTAATTGTCATTCTATGGGTGGTGGCCCTCCACCCATGAATATGCCACCATCGAATATGATGAATGTTGGACCAAATAAAAACATGTGCAACATGAATCCCAATATGCTTCCAAACACAGGACCTCCATCTCATGCACCAAACATGAAAACACCTCCTATGGACAGTGGAATCGGTAATATGGGAAGTGGCGGTGGTGGTGGAGGTGGCCAATTTATTCAACAACAAAATCAGGTGTTTGTATTCAATACAATGATGGCCAACAATGCTGCCGATGCCGTCGAACAGGGACGTTTTCCCTCCATCATACACTTTCATATGAATCAACCAATAACTAAAAAATTTATGGAAAAAAATTCAATCAAACTACAAAGCTTAAATCGTCAGCCGAATAATTCATGGATGGCGGGCAACATACGACAGCCAAGAATACGCGGACCGAATGCATCAACTAATGGAATGCCTCCAATGCGAGGCAATTTCGTTAGAACAACGAATCCTCCTTGTTTCTCACCTTACAATCATAATCCACCACCTGGACCAGGACCTGGAGGTGGTAATGGAAGCGCTGGATCGCCAGGACCTGGCCAATGGAATCCGAATTGGCCTCCATCCGGACCTCCACCACCCCCTAACAATCATCATCATCATATGTCTGGTAGCGGTAATGTTCCTCAACCTTTTTCGAATGATATGAAAATGGGATGTGGCGTCAATCCAATGAATGCACCGCCGATGCGACAATGTGGACCAACACCATCTCAACAGTACGATAACAACAACTGTGGCAACAATTTCAATCCCCGAGGCTATCCTATGGGTATGAGTAATTTATTTCAAAAAAACCTGTAAACATTAGATTGTCTTTTCTTTCATTATGAACATAGGCTGCACTGAAGATGATAATCTTACACCTCAACAAAAACAACATCGTGAAAATAAATTGGCCATATTGGCAAATATACAACAAGAATTCTTACAACGGGAAGCGAATCAAAATCCAAATAATCGTTTAGGACCGTCACCGCAAAACGCTCAACCACCCGGATCAAATACTGACCATTTTGGGCCTGGCATGATGGATCCAATGATGAGCTCAGGCAATTCTAATCAACAATCGATGATGTATCCACTTCATCATTCTCATCCACCACCACCACCACCTCATCATCATCATCATTCCGATCCTCAAATGTCATTTAAACAAGAAAATATTGATCCTCACAATCATCCAATGAATCCACATGGTCATCCACTTCCACCAGGAATGAATCCGTCCGATATGAATTTCAATCCGAATTTCTGTCCAAATCCAATGATGAACAATAATAATAATAATGATCCATGGCTCAAATCTGGTTCTGGTCCCAATTTTCCACCAATGATTGATGATACAAAACCATTTACATCAACGACAACCGCAACTACAACGTCTAATAGTCGACGGAAAGGATCTCAACAACAACAAAATGCTAATCATTTATCTCCCATATCACAACAAGGTCCCATAAATAGCCCAAATCAATCTTGTATCAATCAAAGTCCAAGCAATCGTGTGCCACCACCTCCATACAATCCCACTCTGCACAGATCAATGTCAAGTCCACATCCAGGATCTCCCGCCGCAATGTCCTTACCGTCACCTCGAATGACATCCGATTCAGGTAGACAGGCCAACTATACGCCCGGATCAGTTCGTTCAGGTCCATCCACTCCTGTGGTTATTGATGGACCACCGTTAATTAATTCACCTAAATCGAATTCTCGGGCCAATTCTTCGCCGGGTAATAGTAAAAAGAATAAGCAGCAGCAACAACAACAACAACAGCAATCAATGGATAATGATCTTATGTTTGGTGCAAAATCTGAACATCCACTAATGCCCGTTCCCTCGCCTCAACAAATCGATTATATCAATACATTCGAAGGTCAAGAATTGACTATACAAAAACAGCCTAATGCTCATTTCCAAGAAACGAACGATATGATGGTAGGTGGGGGTGGTGGCAATGATCTATTGAATAATGATCTATTCGCCAATGATTTTATTTGCGGTCCAAATCAACAATCAAATAATCCACCGCCACCAATGTCGATGAATAATCCACGATTTCCTCCTGGACCATGTAATTTTGATTCCAGATATCAAGATAACATGAGATTTAATGGGGGACCTATGATGGATAACTATAATAGACCACCATCACATGGAATGTGTGGTAATCAAAGTGGTGGTCCTCAATTCAATCAAAATGATCCCAATTCTATTCGCTTTTCTAATTGCGACATGAAATCATCAAGAATACCAGGCAGCAATGGTCCCGATATGGGTACATATCCTCCATCATCGAATTCATTATGCGATATAAATTTTGCTAATTCAATACCACCCATCAATGATGGCATGAGTGGTTCATTTTCGAACGGTGGCGGTCCGCCGGGTCCTGGTGGTTCCGGTTTCAATGATCCATCGGTTGATAATTCAATTAATTCATTACAAAGTCTGCAGAAAATGGCACCCCCATTTGAAATGGTTGGACCGAATTCAAAATCTGGTCCAATGACTGGCGGTGCATCAGCAGGCATGATGGCTCAATCAAATCAAATGATGGGTCCAAATCAAAAAGGAGGCAATGGCCGAATGCCAGCAAATTATGATCAATCTTTCGGACCGGATCCAGGAATCGGTCAAATGCCACCTTGTAATGATATGAACGATTCTAATAATTATGGTGGCCCACCACATATGGTTCAATCAACTAATATGCCTCCAATGAACTATCCACCAAATAATTTCTCCCAATCAACTAATTCTTCGATGCCTTCGAATATGATACCTCCCAATAGTGATCCTCCTTATGGTGGCAGTATGCATTCAGGCAGTGGATCATTCTCACCAATGCCAATGAATACACCAACACATTCAATGATCGATCAAAGTTCATCGAATGGTCCTAGCCCTATACCGTCGATGATGCAACCCGGTGGTCCTGGATCTCAAGGTAATTTTGGACCCCGAATGCCACCATCTTCTAACGTTAATCGGCCAATGAATCCCTCGAATAATCATGGTCAACGTTACAATTCACCTAATATTCAAGTAAAACCTGATGCACCAAATACGATACAATATTTGCCATCAAGACCACAAGGTCCAACGACAACACCACCTAATCGTCCTCCTAATTTAGATTTTTTGCAACAATCATTAAATATGGGTAGTAATAAATCATCTGGTCCACCTCCGCCATCAAATCCATATTATCCACCTAATAGTGCTGGTTCGATGACACCAAACCGCCCGAACATGAATTTCGGTGGACCACATGGTCCTGGTGGGCCATCGATGATGAGACCACAGAACATGAACACGGCAGCTGGACCGCCTGTTTCAGGACCACCTCAACCAGGTAACATGTGTGCCGGCAATGATATGATGTTCAATCGTCAACCTGGCTCGGCTAATCATCAAATGACAAATGGTCCTAGTCGAATGCCACCGCCACCACCAAATTCTAATTTTGGACCAAATGGACCACCATTACCACCTGTAAATGGTCCTATTCCACCAACAGGGCAAAAACCGAGTGGTAATAATGGACCAGTACTACATCCAGATTCATTTGATAAATTTGATAATGATTCAGCCTATGCACAACAATATCATAATTTTCAACAACAGTTATATGCAACGAATACACGTAATTCGGCAAATAATCCACGAATGTCTTCGAATTTTTAAAATTTTTGTACATACGATAGACATGAATCAATTTGTACTAATCTGAATATTGATCAAAAAATCCAACGACAATAATGAAAATTATTTAATTTTTTTTTTGCATGAAGACAATTCAATATGTAAATATACAGATTTTATTATCATAAAACACATTACAAATATTTGTACAAAAAAAAATCATTATCAACGAGTCATCATTTGGATGCCGAAACAAACAAAAATCTGAATTCACAACCTATGATGATCTCTTATTACCAGATTTTATAATATACAATGGTGTTCAGTTGACCTCGTTGATAAATTTTAATGTCTGTCCTAAATGATTTTTTTTCTGAACACAACAAACATATATTTCGTGCTCATCACAAATTTTAAATTATTATTAATTATTATATTGATAAATATATTGTTATTTCTTTTTTTTCCTTGCATCATTTCAATCAATTTTATTTCGTCTGTCAGATAATTATTAATGTATAATGGACAATAAAATGAATCTGAAAATTTTCATTTTGAAAAAAATTAATCTCATATTCGATTGTATAAATTGAGATATTTTAATAACCGTACTCGTGTTTGCCATAGTTGATCAAATTGACGATAATCATCTACATTAATATTATTTTGACTATTTTTAGTCAAAGTATTTAATCTAGATGATCGAATTGATTTGTATGTGTGGAACATTTTATTAAATGTCGAAAGAAGTTTCTTTTCCATACGATCATGAATCAGATCATTGAATGCATATTTATAGTTCGTTTTTAATTCAGCTAATCGATGACTTTTCAATAGGGATTGACGAATTTTTTCAAATTTTTTATTATTCGTATCTTTCGGTTGAGAATGTAGCAGATTCATTTGTTTAAGAACTTTGCGTAATGATCGTTCAAATTTTTGCGATCGGTGTGGCTCAATTTGTATCGGATTTTTGGACATTTTTGATGGCTGTTTTTCTTTGTTATCACCAGTTTCAGAGTTTTCTTTTGTTTTTATAGTTTCTTCATCTAACAATTTTTCATTTTTTTCAATGGGTTCATTTTCATCGATTTTGATAAAACTAGTCATTAACCTTTTGGTAAATGGACCATGTGAATTTTCCGTACTTGTTTCATCATTGGAAAAATTATGAATAAATTTTTCCAGATATTCAGTTAGATTTTCATCACTTTTGTTGTCGTTATTAGTATCATCATTCTTCTCATTGATCGTTAAATTCGAACCAGTTATTAGTGATAAATCATCATTCAACGATTCACATGCATCATAAAATGCGGCACATTGCTAAAAAAGAGATTAGATTAGATTAACAAAAAAAGAAAATTGTTATAATACCTTGACTTCTTCTTCGGTAGGTGAAATATCATGAAAATAATGTACAAATGACCAAAATTGATTAGGTATATCTACATCATTGAGCTGTGGATATGGAGTACCGATGAAACGTTCGATTATTTCATAATTTGTTGGCATCTGTAAAGTGAATTTGTCAACAAATTGATTTTTTTTCATCAAAAACAAATTTCAAACTTACCGTGCCATTTGCTTTATTTTTAAATGTTATTCGATCAAAATATTTTTCAAAAGTTTTCTCTTTTACAGCATACGGTTGTTTTATTTCAATTTTTGACTTTGATGATGACGATGATGATGATGATGCATCAATGTTCTATAGAAAAATTTTTCATCGATGATTATGAATTACTCATATGGATATATTTTTTCTACATACATTTTTTAACATTTTAATTTCATTGGCATTCAATTCATTTTTCAGTAATCGCAAACGTTTCATCGTATCCAAAAGCAACGTTTCCATTTCTAATTGTATCTGATCGAGATCATCAATATTGATCTCTGAATTTTCTTTTGTCATAACTTGATAAATGATCAATATAATAATATTCGTTATTATTATTATTATTAGTTAAAAAAAAGAAAACTTACATCGATGATAACGAGGACATTTGATGACTAAATTCAATGGATCATATTCAATTATATAATTCGGTATACCTAATGAACCGAAATCTTTTTTATCCGAAATAGTATTAAATTCATATTTATTTCCATTTTCTGGTTGTTCAATTTTATCATCCATTTTCTGAAATTAGTGGATTATAGATATTGTAATATGGAACAATAATATGTATTTCAGCGGTGAATAGTCATGCATTCAACAAAAATAAATACTCGAGGATAATATCGATTGTATCGAGATCCGAGAATCTGAAAACAACTGTCTCATGTTGTCCATTGACTGACAGCTGTTTCATGTAATAGCTATTTCATTTGAATTTTTATTCGGTTACATATCATACGCTATTGACAATGCGATCGAATCATTTATTCAATAAAAATGCAAAAGATATAGATGCTATTATATTCTGTGAATTTGATGTCCATCTTGGTCCAATACTCAAACATCAGGTTCGTTGTTACATTTGTCTTAGTCATCTTTGATTTATGTGAATAATCATGATTTCATATTCGATATGCAATAAAAGTATCCGGAAAATTATGTTACCAAAGAGACATTTGAATCATTAAGCGTTTATTTAATACCTAAACCTGAACTTTATGGAAAATTAATAACAATGTAAGCACCATTGATGGATAATGAAATTTCAGCTGAACCATAAATTTTTATCAATAGAACGGCATTTGGAATGAAAATTCTTGGCTATCCAGTCAGCATAACCGATGCAAAATATCAACGCAATCAATTGATATTTAACCTTTGTTTTGTATTCTCACATTTTACGAGTACAACACAATATGAGCCTATTATACAGAAATTAGCTCATTATCTTATCGATCTTGAGGGTGAAATGGGTTTTATTTCAAAAAAAGATATCGAACCAGAACTGCCAAATTATTTGGTTACAATTAGAGATCATTTAAATGCATACGGTGTTTGTACGATTAGAATTTGTGAGTTTTACTTTGTTTTCAATCTTATAAATGCAATGATTAACATTCGATAATTCAGCGTTGTCAACGACCATCCATTTGAAATTGACCAAAGTTCAGACGAATCCACGTCAAGTTGAAGATTATCATGTACCCATACTGAATTCAAATCATTTTAATGCCAAAAATATTGGCCAATGGGATTTAACTACACAACAGGTATTGTAATTTTTTTAAAAAATTGCATTTCCGATTGAGTTCACACAAACGCACTCTCAACACTTAACTATTTGTTTATCTATAGATATATTATTACATTGATGGTGTGAATCATGTTTCAAAAATTGCATTCCTGGCCGATGTTGACATTAATCTGGCGAAAGCTTGTATACAAAATCTAATCTATTATGGCCTTGTATCATTGGTGCCAATTTTTCTCTATTCAAATGTCTATGTAACTACGCCAGAAATTCGATCTTTACTTGCGAATCCTATGCTAAGAGATGAATGTCTTCGTGCAGTACGCAAAGATGGTTCAATTGTTGAACCATCATTGAAAAAAATCCTACAACTTTACAGTAATATGTGTCCGGGAATGACTGTCAAAGATTTATGTCAACGATTCTATCCGCATTCGAATGGTATTGATGAACAAAAATTGATCAAGTTTGGCATAATGAAAGGCATTATAAGACGTATACAGAAATATCCTATTCTATTGGATGAACCTATCGATGAAGAGCCGGATTCCTATGCTCGAGTTAGTTCACCAACAGTAACCCAATCAATGATAATGAATCGTTCCGCATCTTCGCCACAATCGAATACTTCCACTTCACATTATTCAAAAAATATCTGTACATATTTTGATGGAAAACATTCTTACGATCAGCTTTGTTGTGAATTTAATCGTACACATCAAGAAATTGAAGAAAAAGTTGAAAAAAATCCGGCAGTAGTTGTATGCTGGAAATAATTTTCATATTTATAGCTTAAAAGTTACACACATTGTATAAAATTGTTATTTTTTTATTATTTGGATTATAATTTTTTTCAATCCTAATCATATGCACTGAAAAAAAAGATCGATTATCAAATATTCGACAATAAAATATGAATGATCTTAAACCGGAAGATCGATTTGAATGTGAATTAGAGGGCCATGAACTAAGAAATTATGGTCCAAATTCATGGATGGTTAGACCTTGTGAATGGTATCTACAAGAATATAAAGATTGTAAATGTAAGTCAAAGATTAAATCAAGGATTTTGAACGATCCGGTTCATTTTTTTTCCCATTTGATTTAAGCAATAAGAGCACGATTACATCAATATTTTATTTCGGGTACAATCGATAATTGTGACAATTGGCGTGATGATTATCATAATTGTTATCAATTTAGAAACACTAAAAATCCAGCCTATTTGGTAAGCTTTTTTTTCTCTCTCACACATTCCATGTTCCAACGAGAAAAAAAAATCTTTGGTTAAAAACATTTTTTTTCTGATTCATATTACTCTTCCTATATAATTTATTTACATTTATAGAATCGTGTGATTGAAAGTGAACTATTGCGCAAACAGAAACGAATGTCACAATCCAAAGCAAATGATGTTTGGGAATATCGTACTGAACCGCCCAATGATTGGAACAAACCGATTACAGACGAATGAAGCAATCTTCAAATGATAAACACATATTTTTTTTCTATTATCAATTGTGATTGTATTATTTGTTTTTGTCATAATTTAGCTATAAATTGTCTTTTTTTCACTTATATTTTTGAAACAAACTTTATATTTGAAAAAACCAATTATATATCAGTTAATTCATCATTCATTCATTTCCTTAAAAATAATCATCATTGATTTGATTTGCTCCTTGGTTACCCATATTTTAGTGATTGTAATGGTGACAAATATTTGCCAATCAATTAAAAGCAATCGAGCAATAATAATAATAATAATTAAAAATACAGCACCGATATAATCATCCTTTAAAAAAAAAATCATTATTTGTTGAGCAACTCTTTTGTTGGTGTGTTTTTTTCCATTTATAAATCAAAAATAAACATTACAGTTATACATGGTTATTATTTGATTCTTTAATTATAATAACATTTTTTTTTCAAAAAAAAAGTTTGATTGAAATATGGATAGAAAAAATCATCATCATCATTTTGAGGCTTGATTATAAAAACAAACAAACAAATAAAATAACAACATTCGTAATGAAAAATGACTTTTTTTTGTTGTTGCTCCCCTTCAAAAAATTGTCAAATGATGATTCAAACAATGTTTATTTTCATTTTATCACTAAAAACAGTAATACCGGATACATATTTGAGATAGCTAACCGGATGATGATGATGATTGAATTGATTATCATCTCAGTTTGTTTGAACTTTTATTTTGACCGGACATTTTTCTACTAATAAAAAAACATAATCTCTAATGTATAATTGATAATGAATCCATGGTAACCATTTTAATTCTGATTAAAATCAACGATTTTTTTTCTTCTAAAAGTCTAAAAATCTTTAATATAAATCTCTTATATCAGCTCATAATTCAAAATGCAAGATGTTTTCTATTCATTTATAAAATAAAATTGGGCAGGTAGGTATTATTGTGTAGACAGGTGGTTGGACCACCACCACTTTGATTTCTTGTTCTTTATTATAATTTTTTCAATATATTTCAATTCGATGATAATGTTGCTGCAACTACCACCACCACCACCACCGACACCATCATCAAAAAATTATCTTCTATTAGCTATGCATCAATCGACAAGCAAGTTATTTGAGAAAAAAAAAATTTGTCGAGCAGCAAAGCGGATACCATTGAATAGTGTGAGTCATTCCCATTCCAATCATAGACTTGATTTTTTTTTTCTTTTTAAACTTAATCTCTGATGTTCAACACAACCACAATTACAAAACAACAACGACGGTGATGATGATGATGATGATGATTATCATTATGGACATAGAGTCATAGTCATGCATGCATATTGCTGTTGTTTGAAGAGAGAAAGATATAGACGATATCATCATTCAATATATTATCCATCGACGCTTAATAATATTTAATTTTTTTTTATTATATTCTCGCCATTCTATTATCATTATTATTATCATAATCGTCATTCCTATTATTATTATACATAAATTGGTCCTGCCCGTCATCGGTTTGGTGATTGTTTGATATATAAAAATGATAGTTGTTGTTGTTGTTGTTATTCGGCTTTCATGTTGTGTTTGATGATGATAACAATACTTTGATCGAATCGTGTATATTATTTGGATTTATATTTAAAAAAAAATTAACCAAAAAAACAACGCCAATTGATATAATTGTCGGTCTATGTGTGTGTGTGTGTTTTATTAGGGCGACTACTTGAAAACCATCTTTATTTAATTTGATTTGTTGTCGTTTTTTTTTTCACCGATCCACTCTCTCATTATTCGAATCATTCCGTTCATTTGATTTAAATACTAACGCCATACATTTTATAAATATGTGATACATTCATCATTTCACTTTCTTCAAATTTTGTCAACAGGTTTTCCATTTTCTTTTATTGTAAGTGTGCATTATTTGTTGTTGTTGTTGTTGTTGTGTAATACGATAATGAAATCATCGTATATTGTTGTAAATATTAAATGATTGACTGTTATTTATGATTATTGATTGTTTTTTTTTCTCTTGTGGCTTCGTGATGATGGTGATTTTATTTCAATTATAACAATCATATAATCATTACAATTTACCAACACAAAAAAAATCTGATACATCAACAACAAAACAAACACTTTTTTTTTGCTGGCCAATATATCGACCAAATAAACAAAACAAAACAAAATTCATTCCAATAATACAACAATTTTACTTCAAACAAAATTAATTGATTATAAATTCAACCATTTCTTTTTTGTTTTTTTTTGTGATTTTTTTTTAATTTTGCTAAATCTAAAGTGTTTCTGACCTTTTCATCGTTTTTCTTATTGATATTTGACGCGATAATTTTTTGCTAATAAAAAAAGAACAAAAACAATGGATACGTTAACAGCCAATTTGAATGCACTTTCATTGAGTGAAGAACAAACCGATAGTGTTGAAAATCTTTTCAGTAAGGTAAGAGAATTTTTCAACATAATTTGCATGACATATGCTGATAATTAATCGGTAAATAATTAATAAATGAATATAGAATCAATCGTTGGATGCTAACGCATTAAAAGATGCATTAGATATTGTTGGCTTTAAATTGCCATTATGGCGTGTACGGATTTTGATTGAAGATATTGATAAGAAAAAATCATTCCTTCAGGAAAAAAGTCGTTTGACAAAAGAAGAATTCATTAAATTATGTATGGATCTAAGGGCACAGGATGTTGCCAATTCATTCAAATCGACTATATCGAAACGTGGTAATCTTGAAACATTGGGCGGTATGTCGGAAGCCAGTTCATCTGGTACTACACATTCCGTTAGACATGAAGAACAAGTGGCCTTTTCCGATTGGATTAATACGTAAGTGTAATGTTTTTAATTTCCTTATATTAAATTTTACCTTTCCTATAGACATTTATCATGCGATTCGGATCTAAAATCCTTATTACCAATCGATTTAGAAGGCAAAACATTATATGATAAAGTAAAAGATGGTATACTTCTTTGTAAAATTATCAACCATTCATGTCCTGACACCATTGATGAACGTGCCATAAATAAAAAAAATCTAACTCTTTATACCAAACATGAAAATCTAACATTGGCTTTGAATTCGGCCCAAGCTATTGGTTGCAATATAATCAATATTGATGCACATGACCTTTCGAAAGGAAGGCCACATTTGGTGCTTGGTTTGCTATGGCAAATTATTCGTATCGGCTTATTCAACCAGATTACAATCGAACACTGCCCTGGGCTGGTTAATTTATTGAACGATAATGAAGAGATGGGTGATCTATTGAAATTGTCACCCGAAGAGATACTGATTCGATGGGTTAATTACCAATTGGAAAAAGCCAATGTTGATCGAAGAATTTCAAATTTCACTAATGACATTAAAGATTCAGAAGTATACACTCATCTTTTGCATCAGATTGCACCACCAGAAAAAAATGTCAACAAGGATGCCTTACGTGAACGGGACATGCTTGAAAGAGCCGAAATGATGTTGAAACAAGCAGATAAATTAGGTTGTCGTAGTTTTCTGACACCTCAAAACGTGGTCGATGGAGTGTATAAATTAAACGTTGCATTCGTTGCCAATCTTTTCAATAATTATCCTGGTTTGGATACGCCTGAAAATATTGAACCATTAGAAACGATAGAAGAAACGCGAGAAGAAAAAACCTATCGAAATTGGATGAATTCGATGGGTGTGGATCCCTATGTTAATTGGCTATACAGTGATTTGGCTGATGGCAGGATCATTTTTCAGGTAATAACAAACAATAATGATGTTGATGACAAAAAATCATGACTCATTTTTATAATTGGTTTAGCTTTTCGATATAATTCAACCCGGTATTGTAAATTGGTCCCGTGTGCATCAAACATTCAGTAAATTGAAATATTTTATGGAAAAAATTGAAAATTGCAATTATGCCGTAAAACTTGGCAAAGAATTGAAATTTTCATTAGTCGGTATTGCCGGTCAAGATATTTCTGAAGGTAATCCAACACTGACACTTGCTTTGGTATGGCAATTGATGCGTGCATATACTCTTTCAATTCTATCAAAATTAACTAATCATGATTCAAATGGTTCATCACCTAACGTCATTGTTGAAAATGAAATCATCGAATGGACTAACAACAAGGTTTGTTTCGATTTGTTATGTGTGTTATTAAAAATAATTCAATGTAATATTTTTCTACAATTAGTTGCGAGAAGCAGGCAAATCATCAACAATCAAAAATTTTCAAGATTCATCCATTTCAACAGCCATTCCTGTCATTGATCTCATCGAGGCCATCAAACCAGGATCAATCAATTATAGCCAATTATATGAAGGCAACACGCATGAGGTATGTGTTAATAAGGTGTAAAATTTATAAAAATTCGAACAGTCATCCTCATAATTATCATTATTTGAATGGATAGGAAAAATTGGCAAATGCTAAATATGCTATTTCGATGGCGAGAAAAATCGGTGCCCGTATCTATGCATTACCGGAAGATATTGCCGAAGTAAAAAGTAAAATGGTCATGACAGTTTTTGCCTGTTTGATGGCTAGAGATTACATTCCAAATATGGGTAAAGCTGTCGATTCTCTCAACAACAGCAATAACAATGACAACTATGTCGATTAATAATTTGGTTCAAATATAAATGGTTCAATTTTTTCAAAATCAAATTTTTTTTCTCTCAACAAACATTCTAAAAATTTGCAAATAAAAAACACCTATATTGATTCAACTAAATGATCCGTACAGATAAAAACGTTTATTTTTCATATTTCAATATATTTTCATTCGTTTGTTAGTGGTCAAATATGATTTTTATGCAAACATACAAATAAAAATGGACAAGGAAAAAAGGCACATTTTCATTTTTTAAAAAATGGACAAATTTCACATGTCTCAGATATAAAATTGTCGAAGATTATTTGTTGCCTGTTTGATCAACCGAATCCAATCTTTGGTTTCCGTTTCAGTTAGAGTTCGAATTTTGTATATGGTTGAACAAGAATGATCGGCCAATGTGAATACATTCGAACTTTTGTTCGACTGCTGATTATTATTATCAAAAACTGTCCATTCTAAAAGGGGAAATTTCTTACATGCTCGAAGATTCGGTGTCTTAAAAATAAATAAATAATTTTAAATCTATTGATTTCGGCATATTTATAATTACCTCTTTGAGCGGATTATTGGATTTACTATTGAAAAAAAGCAAAGAATCACTGGTCAATCGTAGATGATAATTTGTCCAAAATGAAAGCTATTAATCAAATCATCAATTACTATAAAACATGAAGATCTTTATCTTTATAATTTGACTTACTGGTGGTTTCTTTTTATCTTTTAACAAGGTTTTCCTATTTACACAACCTTTATGTATGATATCTTTATCTGTATAAGTCCAACGTTCATATGGATCCGGGTATACGGTATTCCAATCCTCAAGGTTAGTTAAACCGCCAATTGGTGATAAATAAGAATCATCCGATTTTCGTTTCAACATCTCTAACGTTGGTTTCTTATCTTGTTTGTTATATACATGACTAACTTGATACGTATTGATTATGGGATCATTATTATTAATGATTGGACTATCGTCAATGAGATTAACTTTGAGATTTTTTGATGATCTATCGTTTGTTGGTGATGAAGATGAGCATTGATTATTAGTATTTGCAACATTTTGATTATTATTGGTAGAAAGAAAAAGATTCGTCTCTAGGCTATAGGTTTTTCGATGACCAGGTTTAAAATCGCCATTGATTGACGATTCTTTATTATGTTTCAAACATTCACCATTGAATGATTTGTTTAGCAAACAGGCATAATCTGGATTATTTAATTCTAGAGTGGATTGATTCTGTTGATGATATGATGATGATGATGAAGGATCATTTTGTTGTTGTAAAGCTCTGATATCGTAATGGCTACTAAAACGTGAATAGCTAAGTTTTTTCTGTTGATAACTATTTCTTGATTCAAGATTAGGATCTGGCTCTAATTTTAATGATGTCCTATTTGAAATGAAATTTAGTTGGAAATTAAATAACAAATATAAACATACTTGAAATAATCATCTTCACGAAATTTTTGTAATTCTTCAATATATCTTAATGAGACTAGATAATTGTGTACATCGTCAATTTCAATTTCATCTATGTTATTCAATAGAAATATTGATGAATTAATCATTAGTTTATAAATGAAAAAAAGTATTGAACTTTAAATGGATAATGATGACTTGCCATAACTAGATTGTTGACATTTTTCAATAAAAGTATATATTGATTCAAGTTTTTCGTGCCTAAGATTTGCTCGTTGTATATCGCTTTGTGGAAAAGCGCTATCGATATGAATTATATCACGAAGATAAGTGGCCAGATTTGGTATACAATTTGAATTTTTCGGATTTCTAACAGCCATTTCCATAAATGTTCGTAATTTATTACTATTATCTGATTCGGAAAACAACGCATCAATCTTTTCAAAACATTGACGATCTTTTTTGCTTAAACACTAAAAACAGTTTGATTATTTAACAAATCAAATAAATCAAATCGAATTTTGACTTACATTCCAGGTTTTCTCTAATCGATGTATGGATGCACTATTCAATGCTGATTTGATTGCATAGCTTGAGTGTAGATTATGAATTTCAATGAGATTATTAATTAATTTAATGAAAAAGCTAATCATTTCGGCACGTTGTTTGGGCGTTTTAAGGCAAAGTATTTCGTCAATAGCCCAATAGGTAACAATATTGAATCGTCGAGTGAATAGCACAACATTGGGCGAAAGAACATGTTTCATCGAACCTGTCCATTGTCCAGGTTTTAACTCTTCACGTTTTATTTTTGAGAAAATGATCCAATCAATAAGTGTTAATTGTTTGGCAAAAGTTTCGGGTGATATTTTATTCATCAAACGATATAATGAAATGGGTGTTGTATTATGCTTCCATAAACGATTAGTCCCTGAGGTTGAGTCCTTATTTTTACAATTAATTAAATTATTAAATAGAATAACAGTTCCTGCTTTGAAAGAATTATTACCTCGGATGTGAGTGTTTTCAATGAGAATAAAGTGGTTGGCGTTGAGATACTTCTACGAAGTGAGGATGTTGATGATGATGATGATGATGCTGCTGCAACTGTAGATGAAAAAGATGAATTGGCTACACTTAACATTGTTGATAAATTTATTTTAAATTACAGAATTTCCAATTCATTGAGATTTAGAATTAGATTGTAAAAATGAATTGATGATATGATTGCTGTCATTTATAAATTGATGTTTTTTATATGTGTATCATTGCGTTTGTCTTCGTCGTTTGTCAGTCGCCACATCATATTAAATCCAATTGAGATTTATCCATTTTTTTTTCTTGTACATACAGTATTACTCTGGTTGTATATTGATACTCATTATTGGTTGTTGGTGTTTCTTTTGTTTTTATTGTGTTGGCTTCAATCATCATTGCACATTCATACACATACATAAATGAGCGCGTGATTGGATTTTGGGATGAAAAATAACTATTCACTCTATGTTTATAAGGGTTGTTCTTCTTTTTTTCAAAAAAAATCAATAATTACAATATCTTGATGATAATCATGATGATTAATCAATGAAATTTTTTTTTTGCGTTGATTTAGATGTTGATCATGATCATTGAATTAATCATAAAGCCATCGAACCGGCCAGCTAATCAGCCAGCCAGCCAGTGAACTAATCAATTAGATTAACAAGAAAGATTTCTGTTTTTGTTTTCAAATGAGTCCCAATAATAAACAACAATAAAATAACAACGACAAAGATGAGGACATAAACAAAACAAAACAAAACACAAAACAAAAATAACTAAACTAAATAAATAAATGACATCATAAATAAGTTTGTAGATGTCGTTATGATCGGTGTGTTTGAACTGACGTAAACGGATAGATCGTATCGTAAGTAAGTCAATTGAATGAGAAAAAAAAATATATGTCAAATTGAGGTAATGGCAATGTAATATAAAAAGTATTGAGAAAATATTGTTTGTATGGTAACAAGGTAAAATTTAGCTAATGAAAAGATATGATCATTATCTTGCTTAAAGGAAATTGATTGCCATTCAACTTAGGTCACATCATAATAATGGATTCATCTATTTGGAGAGCAATGACTATATTGTAGAAAATTTGTCAGGGTTAAAGTCATTGACATTGTCTATTTTCAAATTATCAAAATCAATTCTGTAATGATGATGATGATGATGATGGTGGTAGTTCTTTTGGTTTCAACCAGGAAAGATGAGTTGAAATATTTAATTGGGTTGCCAATGCTGTTGCAGTTTTCATAATATTATCATCAAATTCACTGCTATTATTTTTTCGTTTTAGCCAACATTTTTCAAATTCCATCATTATTTCGATTATTTTTTCTCTATTTGATTCATAATCATTGGTGGATAAGAATACAGCATAATTGATCAATGAAATTGCACCAGTTGTTTCGATTGATTTACAAGCAGCTTGATGTGCTTGCATTGAATTCGGTATATCATTCAAAAATTCTAGACATATTGCTAATTAAATAATAATAAAAAAGATCAATAAACTTTGGATAAAGAAAAAAAGAAACAATCATCGATCAGTATAGATTACCAAGCAATGTTAATAGATTTGGATTCGGTACTGTACAGAAGGCTACAGTATTTTTGAAGAATTGAAATGAACTTGCATATTGTTTTAATTTAAGATTAATAAGGCCGAGATTATAATTGATTCGCCAATCTAATGGATGTAAAAAGAATGCCCGTTTCAAACAGGTTATAGCGGCAACATATTTGCTTTTGCTTGCAAAACAAATGCCCAAATTATTCCAAAGTATTGGACATTCAAAAACATTTGATTGTCGATAACGTTGAAATGCACCATCAATATCTTGTTTGATCTCTTGTAAAATTGTACCCATAGCAATTGTTAATGCTAAATCAGGAGTATTTGTTTGTCCATCAGCCTCATAAATCTTTTCGATACCTTTTGAAACAATTCCTGTCGTATACAATAAAATGCCTAATTTCGTTGCCAAATGTAGATCATTTGGTGATATTCTATAGATAATAAAATGATTTGAAAAAAAAAATTTATAATCATAAACAATCAAATCAAATTAATCATACTCGGTAGCTCTTCGTAGAACAAAAATGGCCGATTTATAATCCTTTTCAGCAATCTGACATTTAGCCAAAGCGATAAATGGTTCCACTTGGCAAGTATTTTGTAATGCATTTTGAAATGCTTCTTTTGCCTGTAATGTTGAACCCATGTAAAGTAATGCATAACCATACAAAGTCCATAATTCCCAATCATGTTGGGCAATTTTAAGACCAGCCTCTTTGATTATATCACAAACATTTTGATGTTTACCCAATATTAACAAACATCTTGCAATCGATTTAATATATGTTGTATTATTGATCGATTTTAATAAATTAAATTGTTGTAGTGCACTTTTAGCATCACCTTGACGTAATTTAATTAAACCTTTTAGAAATATACAATATTCACTTTCAACTTGTAATCGATTCATCTGTTCAATACATCCATCATAATCATTTTGTACAAAATGTAAATGATAAAGCCAATTATATCGTTCAAATGGCACTAATTCTTTAGTGAATTTTTTAGCTACTATTGTTGATGGTATAGTGGCCATAATATTTATCTTCGATTTTCAAGAGAATTTTCAACATACAAAAAAAATGTGTTTTTTGATTTTATTTTATTTATCTTTTGAACATTATTATTTTTTTGTTTATAATAACTATTTGGTTACTAATGGCAACCATTTATAAATCATTACAAACATTACAAACATTACATTTCTTGTGAATAATTTTTCATTATTGTAATCATTTGATTTGCCTGTGGATTAGTTGAATTACGTAACAATTTTATGGCTTCATAAAGATGTTCACTAATTATAAATTAAAACAAAAAATTTACTGATTCAAATATGATTGATTCAAAATGTTCAAATACATACATTGGATCATGTTTATTAAGAATTTTTTGCAATACACCAGCTGCTGCACCACGTTTACCTTCCCAATATTCGGGACTTTTGTCCAATTTTTCCAAAATATCAAATGCACGAAGAGCTACAAGAAAATGTCCCATCTTCAAATAATACAAAATATAGATTAAGAAATCATTTGAAAACTAATACCAAATTTACCTTATAACAATCATTTGCAATTAAATGCAAAAGAATTGTTGATTCTTTTGATTGTTGATATTTTAGATACATATCCCATGCTTTTGTTGGTTTTGCATTCATGATATCTGTCAGGAAATAATTTAGAATTTAAATTGGAAAAATTTATCAAAACTTACAACAACGAGTCAAACAACAAATATAGACAAGATCTTTTTTAAGATTTTCATTTTCAATCATTAATAATGCCTCTTCCGCTTCCTTAAAAGAATGCATCATCATTTTAGCTTGGCCATAATTGAAATTAAATGCATCATCATTGTAAAAATAACTTTTGATTGAACTTAGATAAAGTACGACTTCTTCGAATTGTCGTATCAAAAAGAAATACGATGCCATACATTGACGACCTTGAATTGTATCACATTCGGCCGGACTACTTCCAACTAATTGAAAATAATTCTGTGCAATTTTAAGATGTTCATGTGAATTTTGACTTTGTCCAATATTTGAATTGATTATTGCTTTTAAAATGTATTCGATTGGTATTTTAGGTTCAACATTTTTGATCAGATTATCTGCTTCATCATTTTTATCTATGATAAAAAATTGGTTGTTAGAACGTTGAAAATCAACAGTAACTCACCATTTTTTAGATAAAAGATTGTAAGGTTCAATTTTGCCTCAGGAATTGTTCTCATCAAAGATGGTAACACTTGGAAAGCACCTTCACCATTGAGAAATACAACCAAATTATGTCGAATAAAATCTTTTGCATAGGAAAAATTTGTCGGAAATGATTCAATCAAATTTCGTAGCTCCATTTCGGCTGTTGTTCCGTTATACAATCGATAGTTATTACAAGCTTTTAAATTGCTAGCTATGATACTTTTGGGATGTTTTTGCCAATATAATGCCAATACTTCCTGACTAACATCGTAATAATCAAGTAGATAATAACAAAGAGCAATATAGACATTCAGAGCAAGATAATTTTTATCTTCAAGAAGAATTTTTTTATAAATATCAATGGCTTCTTGATATTGATTTCGATAAAAATGCACTGATGCAAGACATAGTTGATCTTCCACGGTTTTCGATAAAACCTTCTGTATACGATCCATAGATTCTATGGTGGATTCGTCATTTTTTAAATCGAGATAAATTTTTAGCCTTTCAGCCAATGGTTTATACGGCCCATCGTATGATTCGATGAATTTCTGATCAATAGATTCACCCAAATAAAATTTACAACAACATGATAATAGTTCAACATTGGAAATTTGTTGTGAATTATTCGATTCTTTATTACGTTTAATCTTTTCATATGTTTCGATTGCTTTTCTATATTCACCAAGACGGAAATGAGCAAACGCTCGCCATAATTCATTTTGTATAATATTATTCTTATCCGGTCCAGCATTACACTATATTATGATTCACCATCAACATTCAACCAAATTAAAATATGAAATCTTACCTCAATCAATGTCAATATTCCAACATAATCTCTTTTAGCAACAAACTCATCAAATGTTGGTATTAAATTCGATTTATTTTTAACATTATTGGAATCAACAACATTTTCATTCGATGGTTTTAAATTATATCTAGATAGGATCTAAATATTTAAGTTTAAGTTTTAAAATTATTCAAAATCAAGTAATCAATCAGAATTACCATTTTTATTAATATTGTATGTTGAAACAATTAAAATCAAATGTGCGTTTTGTCTATATATAGACATTTATTTGTGTTATTCAATGTTTTGGTGTATGTGCGTTTGTTCAAAGAATTGCTATGGTAACATAATTCTATTGAATATGTGATTCTGTTTTAATATATGTAGGGAAAAATTTTATATGGAACTAATCGGCAATATTCTTGCCAATAACGTCCATATTTTTTTGAACATTTATCATCATCTCGCATGGATCGATGAATAATGAGAACAAAAAGAAAGAAAAAATAGAGATAAGGAATTATACTTGTAGCCAATGCTGGAGCACCAATCGCCAATGCAATTAACAATTCCAAAACATAGTTTGTATGGCGAGCTAAACCCCAAAATCCAGATGCTAATAGAACGGAATTTCGTTCGACATTTTTCGAGTCTTTGTATTTAGCTCGAATAATTACGGGTTTTTTTGACCAAATTAAACAATCGCCATTAGTTTGTCGGACTAGTTGCCGCTGATAATCGGCTATATATTCGGCAATAATTGAAAATGTACCAAGTGCAAATATAAATAGATTGATAATGGCAATATAACTGATGTTAGGTGAATTTTTGACAAGATAAAGACTAGGCAATGTAAAAAAACCGGGAACAAACGCTATACAGCCCCAGGCAATCATAAATCCAAATCGATCGACACAAATATCGATTGTTTGCATATATCCATCTTCCCAATAATAGAATTTGGCCAAGTAAATTGTAGTCAATAATGTTGATGTTGTTATTGGATAAATGATATTTCCTTTTCCATATTGACTATTGTATAGCTCATAATGAGCTTTCCAACAGATCAAAACGATTAATTGCCATAGCCAAAGTCCGAAACGGGAATTGATCAAAACTTTAAGACTAATATATTCACCTAATTGTGGATACAATTCAATACCCCAATAGAAATCAAATATAGGATTTCCGGTCATATCATACAGGCCAGGATCCGGTGCGATCAAACCTTAATTATAATCAATATAATTATAAGGAAAAATTTCATAATTTAAATACCTTTAAAAAACAGAAATAGACAGAAAACAAAACCAAAAACCACTAGAATAGCAATCAGATTGGGAATTTTGTAATACAAATGTAATACAGAATAATGCCAAATAATCGGTACGGTGATAACCATTGAAATTAGATAAAATTTAAATCCAGTATGCCAATATTGTGGACGAAAATTATTTGTTGTCGGTCCATAATATTTTTTACCCGGTATTATCAATAAAGAAAGTAGTGCCCAGATTAATGTGATAATAACTATCGACCAACATTCGCCATCAAAACTAAATAATAATCATTATAATTGATGAAAAATTTTGTTTAAAACACTTACAAATCTATCGAAGACCAAACATGATTTACTAAATTCAATACCGAATATTTCTTGAATGTTGAAATTAATTCAGCTCTTTGATAGATGACAATGTATGGTAATAGAATAGCTGCATTCGGTGTAATAATCATAAGCAGCAAAGGAATAATCGTTTCACGAATTAAACGATAATAAATGGTCTGCAAAATCGCCATAATTTTCATTTAAAAATCAATTTGTTGGAGTTAGCAAAAGTGCATCAAGTGTATCATTCGATACAATGAAAATAATTTTATCATCAAATTCGTTTTTTATTTGAAGTTGTTTATGATTTATTAAGTATCTCTAAACAGATAAAAAATAAGATAAATAAGTTAAAAAACAAAATTAAATTAAGGACAAATTTTTTTTCGCGCTTTCATGTACTCTAAAAATGTGATAATACAAGGTCTTTGATCGAATGAATGAAGTTTTATAGAACAGGTTTTTTCGTAATATTCAATTTCATTTTGCCTACCTTTTGCTCATACAACATGAATGATCATAAAAACAGATGATTTCGGCTAATGATGATGATGATTTATAAATTTCGGAATAATGGATTATTTAATTTTCGTTCATAATCTCTGCAAAAGAAAAAAAATCCAATTGATATTAGTCATATTTTCGGTGTTTATTATCATTGTATTTATCTATAATTGGTTAGGATTTAATGATAAAATTAAATCGAATAAATTTGGCAATCCAATATTCACCATGATTGATGATGAATTTGATCAATTAGAATTTGATTCGATCAATTCAAACAATGTAACCGGTTAGTTTTTTTTCAATGATTCGATATTAAATAAAATGATATTTGTTTAAATTCATAGGTTTCAATCAATATATCATACCTGATATTGTACATTACATTCAATTGGATAATCCATTTTTGGATTTTATAACATTGATATCAATCATGTCTGCTGTTCGCCATCATAAACCTAAATTGATTATTATACATAGTGATCGAAAAAAATTACGAGGAAAATATTGGGAAAAAATTATTGAAATGAATTCAAGTGATACAATAAAGACAAAAATTTACCTGAATAAAATACCTAGACCAAAATATATTTTTGATCGTAAACTGTCTTCAATATATCATGCATCGGATATAGCTCGACTACGTGTACTTAGAAAATATGGCGGTATATATTTGGATAATGATGTTTATGTTGTCAAACCGTTACATGAATTTCGTCGTTATGAATTTGTCATCGGTTGGCCCGAAAATCAATATTTAGGTGTGTATCAATTTGATTTCATCAGTAATTAATGAAAAAATGAATGAATCGATTTTTATTTTGATCAACAATCGATTTATTCTATATTCAATCAAAAACAAAATAGGAACCCAGGTGCTTATTTGCCATAAAAATGCACGATTCCTTCACCGTTGGTATGAATCATATCACAATTATAAAGCTGATCTTTGGTACTATAATGCGGGAGAATTTCCAACAAAACATATACTTGAACCGTCTCCAGATCTTGTTCATCGAGTTCGAAATGAATTTGGTGTTGATAATCTCATTCAAATGCTATACAATCGAATGAATCAACAATGGCAACTACAATATTATACAATACATTTGTTGGAACGTCATCGATCATATCTGATACCGACTAAAGGTGAAGATCGATACCGTTATTTCAACGAATATAATATTAGAACTTATAATCGAACATTTGGTGAAATGGCTCGATTAGCATATTTTGGTACGAAAAAAATTATGGATCTCAATGAAAAATAATTTATGAAGCGGAAATTAAGAAAATAACTGAAGAATTTTTATGATTGCTAAATTTACAATTAGAAAGTAATTGTTGAAAACTTTTCATTTGTAAATGATTTTCGAGTTATTTTTTTATTCATTGTCACATTTGTTATGAACGGTAAATCTTTGATGCAAATTTAATTTTTTTTTTGTATTTATCAACATGATCATGGTTTATCACCATCTTGGACATTCCTTGAAAAGACTTCCATTCAATCGATCTCTAATCATACCATTAGTATTCATTATTTTATTGGTATTGACCATCATCTATTACGAATCGAAACTCGCACAACTTCAAAGTTTAAACTTGAATTTAAACTTTCAAAATGTTCCGAGATTATCATCATCAAATTTTGATGAATTTGACCATGATAAGAATTTGGATTGGATGTTACCAAAAAATTTATTAGTCATTTATAATCGTGTTCCCAAAACAGGTAGTACTAGCTTGATGGGAATTGTTTATGATCTCTGCGCTCAAAATCATTTTAATGTAGGCCATTTGAATACGAGCAAAAATAGCCATGTAATGTCATTGTCGGATCAATTACGATTCGTCTGGAATATTACCCGTTGGTATGAAAGGCAGCCATTATTGATTCATGGACATGTGGCTTTTATAAATTTCGAAAAATTTGCCCTTAATACACCAAAACCATTGTATATAAACATGATTCGACGGCCAATTGATCGTCTCATTTCATACTATTATTTTCTCCGATATGGAGATAATTTTCGACCAAATGTCGTTAGAAGGCGGCAAGGAAATAGGCGAACATTCGATGAATGTATTGAGCGCAATGAACATGATTGTCGTATGGAAAATCTTTGGCTTCAGATACCTTTTTTTTGTGGACAAAATCCTGATTGCTGGAAACCAGGCAATAAATGGGCATTAGAACAAGCAAAACGAAATCTGGTTGAGCATTATTTTTTGGTTGGCGTTACCGAAGCGATGCATGATTTTATCCAGATTTTAGAAATATCATTACCACAAATGTTTCGTGGTGCAACATTTTTATATGAAAATGGCAATAAATCACATCTACGAAAAACTTTTAACAAAACTCAGCCATCATCACGGACGATAGCAAAAATTCAACAATCACGTGTATGGCAAATGGAAAATGAGTTTTATCATTTTGCCTTGTATAATTTCAACTCAATTAAAGAACGAATTATGACCAACATAAAGCCGGCCCAACAATACAATGATAAACTATACTATCAAGATGAACAACAATTTTTCTTTGAAAAAATTCGGCCCCGATAATTTTAAATGTTTTTTTAAAAATTGTTTTTGGTTGTTTTATTAAAATCATAATTAAATACAACTAAATGTGACTTGATTTGATAAAAAATAGTATTGCTATGACAAATGTTAGAAACAAATTGTAATTCAACGTTTGTGAAGAATTGTTTTGATTATCAACAATGAATTGGATACGATTATCCAAGATTGGAGTTATTTTCTGTTGTTTTCGAATATATTCACTCAATATATCACGATCAACTAATTGATAATCTTGCCAGTTTTTGATATTGATTGTATAATTATCGCCACCATTTGCTAAGAAATTAGTAATAACTACTTGAAATGTATTTTCTTTGCTTATAGGTGTCCATTTACCATCACAAAATGCTTCAACATTAATTAACTTGGATTTTTTAATCACAGTTTTAGATGACGTCGTACCAAATGTAACACGTACACCTGATACTTGTAGAAAACCACCACGATCATGTTGGTTAGCTGACTTTTTTAAAATGTCCCATAATTCCGATCCAGTAACAGTTAACAATCCTAAATTATTAGTAAATGGTAGTACAGAAATCAATTTCCGATATGTGATTGGACCCTTATCGATACTTGTACGAATGTTTCCACCATTTATCAATGCCATCAATTTACAGGCACCATTATTTGATTGACGAATTTGTCGTACTTTTTCTTTTTTTTGTAAATTACTGAAATGATTGACAAAAGAATCAGTAATCAGATTTCCTAATGAACATTCCTTTGATCTACATGTATTTTGTATGAATGCTTCGGTGGCCATACCAAATGTTTCATTATATTTTATAGATAATTGGTCGTTAAACTTTCGAAGAATTGTTTCAGTCTCCACGTCTATTATTGATCAGATAAAAAATTTAATTACATTGCAATAAAATAACTGACATACCTCCCGGGATGTTATGACTCATTAGAATCGGTTCACCAGTATATTTAACGATTTGACCAGCATCATTGAATGTAAGATTTAAAATACCAATATATTTTCCATAAGCAAATGCTTGTACAATCAATGTGGTTCCATTATTTTCATAGCTACTTGTTTTGATTGCATGTTCAAAAATGGTTGGATATGGACCTTCAGGTTTCTCGATTGAAGGAAAATTTTTTCCACTATATAAATAGCTATGACTATGTCCACCCACAATCACATCCAAATCGGGAACTTTTTCGGCAATCTCAATATCACGATCATATCCTGAATGGCCAAGACCAATAAAAATATTTAGATGCGGATGTTTAGCTTTTAATGTTTGTATCTCTTCCTGTATGGCTTGTATTTCATCACGAAATTTAACCAATTTGCCCGGACTTGATACAAATTCCGTATGAGGTGTTAGATATCCTTTTTTCAATATAAAGTTTTTTTGAAATTGTGTCAATAGCAAAAAGATTTATTTATTTGAGCTATTTTAAACATTTTTTTTTTTGATAAACACTTACCAATGATGGCAACATCAACATTATTCACCTTCATTACAATCGATTTTTGTATAATTTTATGAAGTTCAAGTGATTTATCAAAATCAACATTGCAACAAACAATCGGAAGTGTTCCATTCATAAGGTTAACAAATTTTTGCAACTCTTCTGGTCCATCATCAAATTCATGATTGCCCAATGTCATGACATCATGTTTCATTAAATGAACAAAATCGGCAACAACTTTAGATTTTAATAATGTATACCATGATGTACCTTGAAAATGATCACCAGCATTTAAAAATAATACATTTTCATTATTATTAATAAATTTTTGACGAATTTCTTTCACTTTGCCGACAGTTCGTGCAACACCACCAACACAATCTTTATTCTTATCCCAATTTTCAAAACATTCGGCATTATTATTTGCTTTCATTGGTAGATAATTTGCATGAAAATCATTATTATGAATGATTGTTAATCGAAATTCACTGGTCACTGATTTGAACATAATTAGCCATTGAATGGCTAATAAACGTATTAATAATAATAAAAACGAATATGAAGATTTTAATGACATGATCAAATTATTTTGTAAAATATTAAATTAATTTATTCACAAATGAAAAAACTTTATAACGAAATTTTTTTCTTATAAAGAAAAATTTATTTATTGTTGATCCAACACAACACAAACACTACTACCGGTCGATATAAAGGTCAGATTTTTAATACAATAATAATAAACCGCCTTGTACTATTTAAAAAATTAAAAAATTATATTAATTTATTGACGATTATAATCATATTTTTTTTTTGGTGGTTGTAAAAATTTTTTAATCAAAATTTAGATGAAATTGAAATTTTTTGTTTTAAAGTTGTCGGATAAACAACAGCATTGACAGTATGGATGCTGTATGAATTGAATGTAATTTTTTTTTGTCAAATTATTCATCTAAATAATGAAAACAAAACAACAAAATCGATGTGTTCGATTGACGAATAAAAAATGATGGAAAAAAAAGTAACATCAAAATTATCTATCTTTATATATAGACAAACAAACAAACACAACACACACCTGTTCAAATAAAATATTATTTAACGCAAAAGATTTCATCATCATCATCATCATCATCATCATCATTGCCGCATCATTAACATCTATCTAATCGGAATCATTGTAAGATTATTTTTATCATCATATGGCGATTTAATTATTCAATCAATCAAATGTGTTTCCTTTCTTCTTAGTCGTCTTTCTCTTTTTGCCTTTTTTTTTACTTCTCCTTTGCCATGAAATGATGCCGGTATAATTAATAATTCGCAATTATAGATGCAATGACGAATGATGATGATGATGATTGATGATGACGTTGTTATGTTGGTCGTAGAGACAGTTTTTTTTTTGATATTTTTTTATTATTCGAACATTTTTTTGGTTTTATTTCACCCGAATTTTATTGATATCTTAAGAACAATGAACTTTTTTTTGTAAATGGAAAAAATTCATTATTTGAATCGTCGGTTGTCAATTTGAGAAAAAAGATTTCGAAACATTTGATTTTGTTTTAAAACAAGTGAAATTTCACTTTTGAATAATATAGCCTAGGGATTGACGAAATCACCCTTTTTTATTTTTTAAAAAAATATGGTAGAATCAACGACTGTACCTACACAATCATTAAAATTCGATTCATTACATTCCAATCGATTAATCAATGTTTAAACAGCTAAATAAATAACTAAAATGAATAGCCGACAAAAATCTCTTGCACCAAGATCGATCAATCAATTAGAGAAAAAAAAATTGATTTTAAATCACGATGATGATGATGATGATAATGATTAACAAAGCATTGATTCGAACGATTACGACGAACGTGATTCACATCATAAGGGATGCAACAACAAAAAAAAACAAAAACATGAATATATTTTCATATTAAAATCTCTTCCAATCAATCACAAATACGAAAAAAAATATTGATTTTATTAATTTGTTTGAATTGAATAGAGGCTATATTTATGTTTTAAAAAAAGTGTCTGTGTATGTTTGTGTGTTGAAGGTGGATGGATAATATATAATTACACAAGAAAAATTTGTTCAAAAACAAAACATGAAAAAAATTAGCAGGACAAAATATGAAAAACAAAAGGACATGATAAAAAAAAAATTTCCTATGAATTTGAAGCCAAAATGAAAATGAGATAATTTTGTGCCATTTATATCAATATCAAACAAGGATGCATAAACGGAACAATTTAAGCTACTAATTAATTATTTGTTGTTGTTATTGATAGATATTGAATTGATTAAGGTCTATGAATAATTGAAAAAATAAATGATAGAAAAGTTATGAATATCGAGAAACTTTATGACGATTATTACTTTCATTGTCAAATGTTTTTCGATGATGATGATGTTTACCCGATGAAGATTTTGATTGTGGTGATCTTGATCGTTTACGTCCCCCACCGCCACCACTATGATGATGATTTCGATTTTGTTTCTTTTGATTATGATCCTGATCATTATTAGGGCTTAATTCTCCTTCTTCTAGTTCCTCATCAGCATCATGTTTTTTATTAACATTATTATCATTCTTATTATTTTTATTACTTTTAACGGGATGTTTTTTCATTTCAGCATCATATTTGTTCAATTTCTTTTCAATTTCCAGTTGTACATGTCTTGGTATACGTGGAAATAATGTTGAAAACCATTCCAATTTTGTAAGAAAATGGCGAACCATTTGACCAATCGTCATTGGTGATCCACCACCTGCTTTCGGATCCACTTGTTCATCATCTTCCATAAATGGTTCGAACCAATGCCATAGTTCGCGTGGTGATTGTGTAAAACGAATATACATAAATCCTAATGCCCGAATATATGGAGAATCTTTATGCCGGATCATGGCCATTACCTGTTTACGTGTAAGTTTTAACGTAAATAATTTATAAAGGATACAAAATGGGGTAGAGATGATACCGCCAGCACCGACGCCTCTAACCGAACCGCACATTCCCGTCTGTCCGCTAACCTAGAAATAATATATAAAGTTCAAGGTATAATTCTTACAAAAATACAAAATTAGTTACCTTTCTGGAACCTTTTTCCCATGGTTCTAAATGTCGTACACTATAGTAAATTTCATCGATAACTTCATTATATGTTTTCAACTGAAATAAATTATTTTTAAAATATGGACTTTGTTGTATATTTGTATAGATTAAAGGATTTAGGCCCATTTTTTCATTACAACTATAATTAAGAATATTGGACAATTTTGGTTGATTCGGTTTGGCAATAGTTGGATCATCATCATCATCCTCATTGCCAGATGAATCTTTGCCTGAAGAATTATTTTTAGCATTTGATTTAACATGTGTGGCAGCTGCGACAGCAGCAGCATTCATCATCGTTGGCAGATAACTGGCCTGTGTAGACGGATATGCAGTGGCCGTTGTTGTGGCTGATGTCGGATGGGGATAATAAACTCCCATAGCCTGTGTCTGTTGAGGTCCATAACCATATTGGGCATAATACTGTTGATAATATTGCTGATAATATTGTGAATTGTAAAGATTTGGATCGATATATGAGGGATAAGATGAACCATAAGATTGATTCGTCGTAACCGCAGTCGTCGATGGAATCGTTGTCAATGAATTGGTAAATGGTAGCGGTATGTCCAACGTAGTCGTCGGAATGTAACTAGAATTCGAATTTGAAGCCGATGTCATTACGAATGAAATCGATAAAAGGTAAATTATTTCGTGATAAGTGGATCCGGATTGAAAGGCGGACAAAATCCAATAAAGATAATAGAAAAAATTAAACAATATTTGAAATAATAAACAGAAAAAAATTTTTTACAAACATGTATCGAAAGTTTGAATGAATATTAAAAATTATCGATCAGAATTATTGATCATCAAAAATTAATTTCCGATCTTGCACGAGAAAAAAAAATGATGATGATCCAAACATCGAATGAAAGTGAAACGAATTAAAATAAATAACAACAACTCGACAATAGACTAAAAACGACTCAAAACATGAGATAATGTTCGATTGTATCACCATCTATTGTAAATTTTTTGAAAAAAAATTCTTTTTTTTACTGTTGAATATTTTTCAAAAAAAAAGTTTCAAATAAATGTTATAGTAAATTCTATAGTTTTATTTAAAAAAAAAGAATATAAAATTTTACAAAAATTATCAGCAAAACAGTTTTCAATTAAACTTGTTTTTCAATTGTTGTCGATTTAAATGGCATTTGTTCATCATAATTTGATTCGATTGGTGGTGTTGTTGGTTGATTACGAATAACGTATTGAAAATTTTTACTACCAGGTACTTCAGATGATTCTTCAATAAAACGCATAAAACTTAATGAACCATATAGAATACCAACAATACATGTAATCAATGGCATTAGATATGATGCGATACTACCTTTCATATATTTATCCCATGCACCATAAACAGCAATAACGGCAAATAATGCCGAAACAATCATAATAAAATGCATTTGTTCAGTTTTAGCACCATAAAGACCGATCATTGATATGATCAGATTAAAAATCATAACAATAACACAGGCAATGAACCAATAATGAGCAGTAGAACCATCATGTTTTTCATTTAATTGCCAATCATCAGGATATTGTTCTTGTATACGTTTTATCACTTTTAAATCATAGATAATTACCCATATTGAAACTAATATATTCAATATGATCAATATCATGAAACCATAACGAGCAATCAATTTATTCTTTTCTTTTGAATCCATATTTTTTGTTGATGTTGATTTAAACGAAAAAAAAAATTTGTTGTTTTTACAAAATTTTAAAAATTTTGGTTGTCGATGTTGTTTACAATTGTCGATTGTTATTTGAATAGGAAATCGATCAAATTCATAAAATAAAATTCATACAACAACGGATTTTCATCAGCAGCAAAATATGCCAAACCTTTTTTTTCTGGTTATTTGTGATGATGATGATGATGATAATGATAATGATGATAATCGCTATTGATGATTGTGGGTGTTGCTCTAACCAATCTATTATTATTACAACAACAAAAAAAAATAATAATAACGATAATATATCCACCAGGTGACAATATAGATATTATTATAAAAATTGTAATGTCGTTTTTTTTCTTCTTTTATATTTACAACAACAATATTTTTTTCTGTTTGTTATCATCATTATAATCAATCAAAGTAGTTGAAAAAATAAAAATCTATGGTAACATCTTTTTTTTTCATTTTATCGTTTCTTTTTTTTTAATATTGACAAAAAATATATTTGACAATCATCATCATCATCATCATCATGGATATAAATTGCAACAATGATTGCAAAACATTTTCAATCAAAAAAGGAATCATAACATCATCGATATGAAAGTATCAAATAAGTAATAAATTGAAATCAAAATTTGTCTGTGTGTGTGTGTGTTTTGCCATCAATGACTAATCTAATCTATGTATATATTTTGTTTATCTAATAAACAAAATAGTTTCCATTTCCGTTAAAAATGAAAGCAAAACAAAATAACAAATTGCCTGGAATTTGATTGTCTAATTTAAAAAAAAAATTTGATGAATGCTTCGAAATGATATATTCGAATTTTTTGAATTCATTCGATTCGATTCAATTAATGTTCAATGATGCGATTATTTATTTTTTTTGTAAATGATGGAATTTCGATTTTCAAAAAAAAAAAATTCATTTATTCAAAAGAAATGATATTTATTCATTTAAAACAAAGAATGAATCATACCCAAAATCTATGATTCAACTAATAACTACAAAAAAAATGATGTATACCTGTACATTCTGGTTGCATGGTTGTTGTTGATATTCGAGGTGTGACCACCGCCACCACCACAACATAACCATCAGAGATAGGTTGAATCGTTCGAAAAAAAAACGAACAAGTCATTTTTTCCCAACCACTTTTGATTCGAATCGTTTTCCATAAAACGAATCATCGAAGTGAGTGAACGCGCTGGCAAAAAAAAAAAGATAGAGAGAGAGAGAAAGCAAAAGAGAGAGAATGATGGGCCAACAACTGCCATTATCATCCAAATGGATAGATTGAACCATGCATAAAACATAGAGCTTGTTGTTGTTCGTGAACATAATTTTCGAGTATTGTATATGATGGTTACCATAGAATCATTCGTGAAAAAAATAAACATTAACTTAAAAAGTTAAATCAACTTTAACACAAACAATAAACTTGTTATGAGTTGATTTAATAACAAACGGAATTTTTTTCCGGTTTTTTTTCTACATTCTGACCATTCGAAATTTGGAATGTTTTTTTTTAATTTGTTCGTTCTACGCCCGCGCAATAACTTCCAAAAAAAAAATAAGTAATGCAAAGGAATCCAGAAAAATATTAACCGTTCTGTTGACAAACACAAACCAATCCAGAACCTGGATTCTACGTTGTTATTATTGTATTTTTCTCAAACGTTTCAATTCTTTTTATTCCGCCAACCAATTATAAACGAATAATGTAGTGTTTTTTCTGGATTCTAAATGTTTGTAGTAAAGGTGATATAGATAATCACCAATCTAAAGAAAATTGTAACGAAATTTATTGTGTTCAACATTAGTTGTTTAAATATCATTTTCATCATCATCATTGCTTAATGATGGCTTTGTTTAATCAATTTTATTGTAAATATCAAACAACAGTTAACAGATCAAACACCGCCAGAAATCAACATTATTTATTATCATCATCATATTTATTTAATTTGATAATTCTAATCATTATTTGTATAACAACATCGATAATCGATGCAAGTAAGTTTTTTTTTTGTAAATCAATAAATGACTATAATCGAACATTGATAACAATGTAATATAAATCTCCTAGGTGATCATTGTAATAATGAACTAATACATTCGAATTTTGATGAAAGAGGCATTAGGATTACATCATCATCGGATATAAGTAAAGATAAAAGTGCTTATTCTGCCATACTTCATGGTTCGTATATGATAATTTTGTTTTACTTTATATATTTAGAATATTGTTTTTAGCTTATTATTTTATTATTTTATTTTGTTATCTTTTGTTTTGTTTTATTTTTGTTTTGTTGCAATTTTTTTCGCTTGTTTTTGCTTCATATTTAATTGATAATATGAAATCTGATTGATCAGGCCAATCCGCTTGGTCAGCTGCTCATAATGATCTATCTCAATATATTGAAATCGATCTTGGTCGTCAATATAATATATCGGCAATCGGTACACAAGGTCGACAGAATACATTGGAATTTATACAAGAATTTAAATTAGAAAGTGGTATTGATGGCCATGATTATAATATCTATAGAGATCGTAATGGAAATATAAAGGTTTGCATAAATTTTCATAATTCTGGTGTACTATTATTGGAGATGGTCATTTCATATAATTTTATTGCTTTGATTTTTTTTTACTTTGTTTATTCTTTGCTTTATCTATTGATTAATGACAATTTTCATTTCGATTGACATGCATGTGTCTAATTTAAATGATGATTCGCATGTCTATTTATAAATAACAAAATTAACCAAAAACCGATCATCGGTAAATCTTATTTCCTTTTCTTTTATTCTCTTTCTTTTTTGGGTCTTTTTTCCGAAATAACTTTTCTTTTGGGCTCACGCAATTTGTCAAAAAACACATAATTAAAAGGCGAATCATCATGGACAGCAGCATATGGAAATCTTAAACAGTATCTAATCATCGATCTAGACAAACGTTATATGGTGAAAGCAATCGCTTCACAAGGACATCCCAATTCAAATTCATTCGTATCGGCTTACTATCTATCATGTTCAGATGATGGCCATTTTTGGAATGCTGTCTACACACGCAATTCTACATATAAAGAGGCATACATTCATTTATTTTGTCTATGAAATAATTCTGTCAATTAACATAGCTTGATTTCCTTTATTCATTGCATGTCATTCATTATTGTATATGACATACGAATAATATTTTTTTTTGTAATTAGTTATTTCAAGGAAATACTGATGGCAACAGTGTGGTCATTAATCGCTTTGACCCACCTATAATTGCTCAATTTGTTCGAATCAATCCGACCCGATGGAGAGATCGTATATCGATGCGTATCCAATTATATGGATGCGATTATCGTGAGTATTGACATTGAAAAAATTAATTCAAATTTTTAATTTTATTTTACCAGATGCAATTTCGTTAAATTTTGATGGAAATTCTTATATTAAAATGAATCTCGATATTCGACCTATATCATCATCATTCGATGATGTATTCCGTTTTCGTTTCCGTACGAATGAAGCATTCGGTAACATCTTATACGGTACCGGTATTCAAGGAGATCTAATGGCCTTACAGTTAATCGAGAATAAACTTGTTTTAACTCTTGATTTGGGCGAAAATATTGTCGATTCCATATCGGCTGGTAGCCTACTTGACGATAATCTTTGGCACGATGTATTTATCTCAAGACAGGGTCGTGAATTGACATTCAGTGTTGATCGTGTCGTCGTCAAATATCGTTTGAAAACAGAATTTAATCGTCTTGATCTTAATAATGACCTTTATATTGGTGGCCTTCCTGGTTATTTGACCGGTTTCATCAATACACGAAAAAATTTTACCGGTTGTATTGAGAATCTTAGTTTTAACACTACCAACATTGCCCATGAAATTCAAGATGATTATAATAACAAAAATTTTGTTTATAAAATTTTTGGAAACATTCATTATACTTGTCAATTTCAACCTGTGATACCGATTACATTCAACACACGAGAATCACATATAAATGTTTTGGGTAATATGAACAATGTGCTCAATGCTAGTTTAGATTTTCGAACATTCAACGATTATGGCCTACTCCTTTATCATCAATTTTCAATTAAAGGCTTTTTCGCCATTTTTCTCAAAGATGGAAAACTAACGTTAAAAATTCAAGGTGTTGATCCGACGACTGGAGAAGAAACGCCACAAGTTCCACTTGAACCATTTGATCGTAAATTGAACGATGGCTCATGGCATAACGTTCAGATAGCATTACAACGAAATCGAATCATTTTGACATTAGATGGTATTCCGAGTACGACTATTCGAACATTCCAGATGCAAACTGGACAAAAATATACAATTGGGGGTGGCATTCAATCATATCGTGGATTTATTGGTTGTATGCGTTGGATTTACATTGAAAATCGTTTCATCAATCCCGAATTGATTGGCTCCGAAAATATACACAAAGTTCAAGAAAGTGATATCACTATAAAATCATGTCAAATGATTGATCGATGCCATCCAAATCCTTGTGAACACGGTGGAACATGTAAACAAAATCATTTAGGTTTTGTTTGTGATTGTGGTGATAGTGGATATCTTGGTGCTGTTTGTCATGTTCCTAGACATCCATTCTCTTGTACCGCTTTCATGAATGATAATCCGAATACAAAACGTGAAGATATCAAAATCGATGTTGATGGAAGTGGACCATTAGAACCGTTTTGGGTTACATGTTTGCAAACGGCCGAAAATACAATCGAAACTGTGATACATCATCAGAATGAAGCGTCACAAAAAGTGCAAGGATTTTTACAACCAGGTTCATATATTCAAGATATAAAGTATGATGCACCTTTAGAACAGATTGTTCATCTCGTTAATCGTTCCGATAATTGTCGTCAAAAATTGAAATATGAATGTCGTAACGCACGGCTTTTAAATTCACCATGTAAATTGATCATGATTATTGTTATTGAATTATTTATTCTAATTATATTTTTATTCTTTTTTGGTTAATAGCTCAAAAGCAATCATTTTCACCGCATACCTGGTGGGTATCAAGAGATAATCAAAAAATGGACTATTGGGCTGGTGGATTGCCGGGAACACAAAAATGTAAATGTGGATTATACGGGAATTGCTTTGATCCTAAAAAATGGTGCAATTGTGATTCAAGTTCAAATCAAGAACTTATGGATGAAGGTGAAATCACACAACTTGAATATCTACCGGTACGACAGATTCGTGTTGGTGATACTGGTCTATCTAGCCAACTAAATGATCGTTATGGCCGTTTTACATTAGGCTCATTAATTTGCGATGGTGATCGATTGTTTCACGATATTGTTACATTCCGTTACAGTGATGCTACCATTGAAATTCCATTGACTCAAAATTTTGAACAAGCCAGCGATATTTATTTGCAATTTAAAACGACCACGGAATATGGTGTATTGTTCCATGCTACTGGACCTGAAGATTTCATCAAATTAGCTATTGTTAATGATAAGACTATTCAATTTAGTTATAGTTCGGGCACCGGATTACAACAGGTTTCAGTGGAAGCACCTTTCCGTTTGAATGATAATCAATGGCATTCAATTTTGGTGGAGAAGAATAAAAAAGAAGCTCGTCTAGTGGTTGATAGTCGTTACACGAATGAAAACCGAGAAAATGCTGACAATAGTTTTCCATTATATTTAACGAGCTATTTCATAATCGGTGCCACCACTGAATATCGTGAAGGATATTTGGGTTGTATGCGAGCACTGGTAATCAATGGTGAACCTGTAGAGCTACGAAAATATGCTCGCGGTAATTGGGGAATCTATGAAGGTTGTGTTGGTAAATGTGAATCAAGTCCATGCTTGAACAATGGAACCTGTATCGAAGAATATAATGGCTATAGTTGTGATTGTCAATGGACTGCATTCAAAGGGCCTATTTGTGCTGATGAAATTGGTGTCAGTCTTCGTTCGGATTATTATATTCGTTATGATTTTGAAACGACCATTTCTACAATGGAAGAATATATTCGTGTCGGTTTTACCACAACCGAACATCGTGGTCTAATTTATGGAATTTCATCTTACACAGGAGAATATTTAAATCTTCTCATGTCATCAAGCGGTCATTTAAGACTGGTGTTTGATTTTGGTTTCGAACGTCAAGAAATCATTATTAAGGAGGAAAATTTCGCTCTTGGTCAACATCATGATATTACGATCCGTCGTGCGGATAAAGGAAGCAAAGTAATTATCTGGGTTGATAATTATGAACCGAAATATTATACATACAAAATAAGCGATAAAGCTGAAACACAATTTAATCGTCTCAAAAGTATCTACATTGGTCGTAATGAAACAATGGATTCGGGTGAAGGATTTATTGGTTGTATATCTCGGGTAATTTTTGACGATCATTTTCCGTTACGACGATTATATCAGGAAAATAAACGCAGTAATGTGCGAGCTTTTCCATCGGATGCCGAAATTTTTGAAGATAAATGTGGCATCGAACCACCCACACATCCACCAGGTAATTAAAATTAAAAAAACTAATTAAAGTCATTTATTTATTTATTTATTTACAGATGTCCATGAAGCACGACCACCTCCAACACTACGACCTGGCGATAAAATTCCGGGTGGATTTTCGCCAGGTTCAACAAGTGCGATAATTGGCGGTTTTCTTGCTGCATTGGTTGTTCTATTAATATTATTCTGTTTTGCAAGTAGTCGCTTTATTGCCCGTCAAAAAGGTGAATATGTAACTCATGAAGACCAAGGTGCTGATAGTGCCTTAGATCCAGATACTGCCGTTGTAAAGGGTACTACTGGACCTGATGTTTCGGTTAAACGTGAATATTTTATCTAAAAAACACATTGATATAAATCTATGATTGAAAGTAAATTTTTTATATTTATTTCACAAACTTTTATATACAAACAAAATTAATATTTTTTCCTTCATATTTGGTTTTTTTATTGATCATCATCAGCAATGTATCATTCCAAGTTAAAATAAGAAAAAAACAGGCAAACAAAAAAAAACATTCTTGTAAATAAAAATTCATTTTTTTAGACAAAAATAAAACAATTTTGAAATTTTTTTAAATTCTGTTGTTTTTATTGGATAATACCTATGCGTGTATTACATGTTTATGGTTAGAAATTTATTTTCTGAATAAATTTTATATATTTGAAACGAGATCAATATAATCAGGACAAGGCGTATTTCGATTGATTCAATGACTATTTTTCAATGACTATGTTCCAAGCACAAACTCGTCGATCGAATGCACAAGTGAACAATGTAAGTGTATTATTATTATTGAAAAAATCAGAACCGCTGACACCACTGCCCATAGCAGAAGTGTTATTTGCATCCGATATTTTCGATAAAGGAGGCGGAGGTGGCGACATAATCATCGATGCTGATGATGTAGCCGTCGATGCTGATGATGATGGCGGCGGTAATGGTTGGGATTGTAATGACTGCTGTGATTGTTGAATAACGTTGGAAGTGGTTGATGCAACAGATGAATTTCCGGCAATAGTATTGGTAGGATCGAACATTATTGGTGATTGATTATTCAGCCAAGTAGCACATGTCACCATACGATTATGAGAATCCCGTGATAATCGACATATACGATTGCCATTTATATCGTAAATTCGAACATTGCGATTATCCAAAGGTATGGTAAATAAATTATGTTGTTGTGATACGGATAATTTATTAATACCAGATTCCATCGAAATTGTGATCAAAGGTGAACGCATATTTTTGAGCTATTCGAAATGTGAATCAAAATAATCAAAAATGCAAATTTCATCGTTAATGAAGAATGAAAATACTCACATCCCAAACTTTAACATTTCGATCATCCCCACCGGAAAGAATTTTATCCGCACCCAGAAAACATGTTGATGTTACCGATCGATTATGACCTTGGAAAACGCTGACAGAATGAATAGCGTCACGGAAATCCCATAAACGAAATGTAGTATCATGTGATGATGTAACGATCAATCTTGTCGATTCACAAGCACAAACATCAGTTAATGCTTGATCATGTCCGGCTAATTGTACAATCAATTCACCGGTTTGATAATCATAGATGTTGGCCATTTGATCCCAGCTTGCTGTAACACATTGATCAAGGCCATACATCCAATCACACGATACGACTACATTATGATGATCACCCAATTCATGTAAAGGTGTCTTAATGATCGTAGCTTCTTCCATTTGGTCGCCATCGAATTCGGAACGCTGTTTTGGGTAAGAAATTTAAATTTTAAATTAATTGCAAAAAAACAAATCAAACTTACCAATAGATCGGGATTAAATCGCCATAAATGAGATGTACCATCGCCTGAAGCCGTCAGGACAAGATCATTATTATAATGAAATTTAACACAATTTACTGATGATTGATGGCCAGCATAGATGACACAGGGTGTTAGATTATAATCGATTCGTGTCACATCACAAACATTAATGGTTGAATCTGAGAGAATCAAATTATGAATAAAAATATAACAACAACAACAAAATTAGATATTTACCAGCGGAAGCCGTAGCAATATATTGGCGACCATTTTTCTGACTAGAAGTTATATACCAGATACCATCTTTATGCCATTCATATGTGCCAATGAGATGACTACTACTGCTATTACTTTGACCTTTAAATATTTTACTCGAAGTTTTCAATTTATAAGTTGATTTAATTTTCTGTGACAATTGTGATGCTAATAACCATTGCGATGTGAAATCCATTATGTTTGAATTGCAAATGATTATAATGAGTTCAAGTGGAACAATGATCATAACCCAAATTTACAATACCTGCAACCATTGAGTCACGTTTGACCGAACTAACGGAAAATGGTGTCGGCTGTTGTTGGTGTTGTTGATGATGATGTTGTTGTTGTTGTTGTTGTACTTGATGATAATTGTATGGTTTTTGTTGTGACAAAATGTTACGATTTATCAGATTACCACCAGTATCTAATGATGATGATGAATGTAGGGCTGTAGATGTTGAAACTGTTGAACCACCAACAGTTGTTGTCTGTGTGCCAGAGTTTTCAATCAATTCTTCGAGCGTTTCGATTCGTTCTTTCACTATGTTGATCAATGATGAAATATTTAACAATGAAAACATATTAGTGTTATGATTTTGGCTGATTATTATCAACAATAAAAATAATGAAAAACAGATTTGACATTTGCAAGCGAACAAAACAAAATTATAGCTAATTATTATTCAATTTGTAAACTGAATTAGTTACGGCTTGATTGCATTTGTAAACCGAAAATTTTGCCATAATAACGAAAGAAAAAAAAACGAGAAACAGTACCGATTTTTTTTCTTTCATTTTCAATTATGATTATGTTCGTGAAATAAAAACTACACTTACATAAAATGTTTTCATTAATTAACGAATCGATTTCCTTATCAATCATTTCGAACAAGTTATGGATATGATGTCTGTTTATTTTCGATTGTTTTGATCCGATCGAATCAGGGTGTGAATTAATGAATAGAGGGAAAAGAAAAAGAAAAATAATCACAAAATCATCATCATCACCAGCATTAAAAATATAATACAAAAACAAACCAATCAATCGTTAAATCGATCAATCAAATCGAATACTAGAAGAATGAAAAACCACAACAACAAAACCTACTTGATTTTCATCGAAGACGGTTGATGATCGGCAGTCGATCCGGCAATAGTGTTAGTATTGCCGAATTCACAGGCAGCCAATGAATATTGTTTATGAATCGGATTCTTAGAGGTTGACATTGTTGTAGCAATACAATCAATCAACAATAAAATTTGTTTTTTCAAAATTTTCTAAAGAAAAAATTCGTCTTATTTTATCATTGGCTTCCGAGATAATAGTTTTTTTTTCTTTCAAAAAAATGACAAATTTTTTCTCTAACAAATCAATCAATCAAGGATCTTTTTCTTTGTGAAAAGACGGCTGAATTACTTATTCATTAATCATCCTCTTCCAAGGCATACATGTCAATAACAAATATGTTTATCATTCAAATTGGATTCATAAAGTTTCAATGGCATTCATATCAAGAACAGTAAAAAAGTTAATTTATTTTTATTATATGTCATAAACAACGGCTATTTACGCTCTATGTATACGACATTGGTTCAAATAGATTTATGGATCAAAAATGATACAGCAGTTAAACAGTATCCATAAAAAAAAATTTACGTAAAAAAAACTTTTTAAAAATGTCGTCACCATCGTCGTCGATAACCGCTAAATCTTTTAATCGTATTCGTCAATATTATCCAAAGGCTTTCATGCAATGTACAGCTCAGGTCTGTTTTAGTTTGGTTGATATTTTGTTTTGTGGTTGATATTTGGTAATCGATTTTTTTTAACAGGCAGCAACCTATGCACAATGTCTTGAACAAAATGACCTTCATAATATTAGAAAAAATATCTGTGATGAACAATTTCAACAATTAAAAATTTGCTTTCAAAAAGCAATGAAAAATTCGGCAAAATAATTTATTCTTTCAAAGTTATTCGATTTAAATTTCCACCTGATGAAGTTGTGTACAGGATTCTGGCATTTTTATTTTCGTCATAAGATTCGGCAATTTCTGAAATGACCGATATATCGTCTTTAATTTGAAAACTAAGTAACACGTTTGATTCACGATCGATTTCGATGGCCATTCCTGGATTTTTCATAAAATCATCCAAAATTAATGCTATACCAGTTTTTAAGCTAGATCCTTTTGTTTTCAATGTTTCACTGCCAAAACAATTGCCAATATTAAACAGGATAGTGCCTAAATAGATGATGAAAATGAGTATCTAATCTAATATTATAATCATAATGACGAACCCAATAAAAAACATGATCTAAGAATCAATTTTCGAAGATTAGGTTCGGCAGAATAATCATCCATGAATGAAAGTTTGCTATTATAATCACGTGTTAAAGCTAATCCAACCCAATAAGATTCTTTGGTTTTATTACGACTTCGACGAATATTTTCCGGTTCTCCTGGGAGATTATCCATCAATACTGTGCATTTACCTTTATCCGTTCCATCCAATTTAAATTCGATGATTCTTCGTTTGGCCAATTCACAAATCAATAATGATTCATTATTGTCGGTTATTTCGATTCCATTCGGGAAACAAAGATTTTCTAGAATGGTTGTCACATTCTGATTGTTTGTACTGTAACGTAATATTCTTCCAGTAGAATCTGGTTCAAGATATGTATAACACCACATATCAATGGAAAATTTTCGACTAACATCAGTAATATAAACAATAATATCATCATTCTCTTCGACGATGACTAAATCATCAAAAAATTTCGAAGGTCTTCCATCTAAGAATTTAGTCTGATCAAGTCTTAATAAATGTTTCAACGATTTTGTATCTAAATCAAACACATAAAGACCGCTGTTGGCTTCGATAAAATATAATTTATGACGAAATAGTCGCATTCCTAAAGGCCGACCATCCGCAAAACTTGCAATAGTTTCGACAACATTATTATTTTGTAAACAATAAACATAACCAGTAGCGGAACCGACGAATAATCGATTCAAATCATTTGGATCTAATGCCAATGATTTTGGTGTGATAATTTTATCTTTTTCAATTTTGATGGCTTCAAATGCTTTTTTATTACGATTAAATATCTTATCATTGACATTTGGTAATGGCAACCTAATGAATCGGTTTTTAATAGTTTAACTACAAAAAAAAATAATTTCATTAATAAACAAACCTTAGATAGATAGGATTGAGATCAAGTAAAAATCGGCCAGGTTTTGCCAATAAAATATAGATGATCAATATGAACGATATGGTGAACCAGGAACCAATAAAACTAGAAAACAGGCAAAACATTTTTTGGAAAGATTCGAATGTTCGAATTGGACTTAGATCGTTATGGTTTAAAATTTAGACTGATCAAAGTTGAAAAAGAAACAACCACAGATCTCATGAGTCAAGATCTTAACCACATCGAAAAAAAAACCATTGGACTTTGATAATAATTTGTTTTGGCGTCATTGAGTGAAATTTTATATTTTATTTTTATTTTTTTCATTCAAAGAAACGACCACGAATTTGTAAGTACGTAGCAGAAAAAAAGAGAGCAAAACAAAAATTAAAACGTAAAGAGTAATAATTTAAACACTAAATACTTTCTCTCTTTTATTGATTTGTAATTGCCAAGATTAACAGTATTATACGTCCGGTCTTTTAGCTATTGAAAATTATAGCTTAAAAATTTATTCGATGGAATACTAAATGTTTTTTTTTTTGATCAGGAAAAACTGATTGGATACCATTTAAAATCTTTTTTTTTGTTTATTTAACGTAATGGCTATATTTGAATTTTTTAAAAAAAATTATGACATTTGATGGATAAACAACCAAAGGTCATTAGGGTTGTTTGGCGCGTGTATGTAAAAGTATACTTAAAGATTTTCTCAGTGAAAAAAATCGGAAAGAAATTGTTGATAAGATTCTGGCGCCATTATATCAATCTAACTGTATTATAAAAAGACTTTGGATACTTGAGATTTGAATAAAAAAAATGATGATTTTGATTATGATGATTATGGATTAATAATGACAAATTGATAAATCATAGGATGGTGATGCCAGCAAATGATCATTGATTTTTTGATAATCAAAAACAAATTATTGAATGAAATCTATTTAAAGGCAATGAATAGGCCTGGCTTTTATGCACTTTACTCTTGATCGTTTGTCAATTAGATTGAAAATTTTTTATTTGACGATTTGCCACATTCCCGCAAAACAATCTTACAGTAAAAAAAATATGATTATACACTCATCATGGTTATTAATGACAATAAACAAACGGTATTATTCTTTTTTTTTCTAATGTCTTCAGATGATTTCAATTTTTTTTTAAATTGAATTTCTTCTTTTTTTCTTGTTTGTATTCCTTGACGTCCTTGATAACATTTCATGATGACGATATATGTTTACATACGATATTAACTGCACTGTTTATGTTTGCAATATAAGTATGATGATGTTGATCAACAACAGTCACAACAACTGCAGGAATATTTATCATCTAATCTTGAACGACATTTAGATTCATTTTTGAATAATGATCACCACCTAGAATCTGGAACAAATGATTTCTCGATAATGTTCAAGAATAATAATGACAATGTGGATTTTGCATCGACAAGCTTGGATAATGTAGGCATCAGAAAATCGATACATGGCCCAACAACGGCGAATAAAATGGGCAAACAAACGATTAGCCGCCGATCAACAAAATTGCCCAAAACAGTAATCAAGCCAACTGGAACAGGTTCAAGCAAACCTGTGAGTAAAGCAACACCATCAAAAGTTTTAGTTAATCGACGTAAAACATTAAGGCGTTCAATGTCATATGACACATTGCCAAAGATGAAAAATAAAATGATCATCTGTCAGCCAATGACCATACAACGAAGAATAACGGTACCGACTTCTAATAAGATAATATTTAGAGCGCATAAAACGCAACATTTAGTACTGATCTGTTTAGCGTTCATAAGTTTTACCTCAATGTTAGCTATGGCTATCATCGCTCCATTCTTTCCAACCGAATCGGCTAAAAAAGGAATGCGTGAATCGATCAATGGCCTTGTTTTTAGCGTTTATGCATTCGTATTCATGATCTGCAGTCCGATTATTAGTCTGATGATACCAGTAATTGGAACAAAAATGACATTAATTGTTGGAATTTTTATTGCCGGCGTTTCTAACATTCTGTTCGGACTATTAGATCAAATACAAAGTTTGGAAACATTTACAGCATTTTGTTTTATTGTGCGAACATTCGAAGCTGTCGGTGGTACAGCTTTTTCAACAGCCACTTATACAATCTTAATGGAAGAATTTCCCGATAATGTAGGAACAGCATTCGTAAGTTTAGAAAAAAAACAAATTATTTTGCCATCCATGTATTCACTATTAGCCATTTTTTATATAGAGTATCGTGGAAACATCGGTAGGCTTAGGTCTAAGTCTTGGACCGGCTATTGGTGGCTTCCTGTACAATATTGGAGGTTATGGTTTACCATTTTATGTTTTAGGAACGATCATGTTGGTCAATATACCACTTTGTTTAGTGATTATAAAAGATACGAAAAGTAGGTTATAAATACTCATATCATTATAGTAATTTTTCATTCATTGATTTTTTGTTTTTAGATTGTGAACGACTAAAATCACCAATAAATGCATATTTTAAACTATTGTCCATAATAAAAGTAGTTATCAATAGTGGTGTAATTATTGTCGTTGCACAATTACTCAGTTTTCTTGATCCAACGGTCGAACCACATCTACGAAGTATTGGATTGGGAACGAATCTAGTTAGCTTGATATTTTTGATATTATCGGCTACATATACATTAAGTTCACCATTCATCGGATGGTTTTCGCAGATGGTACCGAATAAATTTCAAATTATGGCTGTTGGTCTTTTATTATTAGGTTTGGAATTTCTATTTCTTGGACCGGCCGAAATGATTCCGATTGAAACGAATTTCACACAAACTGCAATTGTAATGGCATTAATTGGCATATCATATTCGATCGCATTTATTCCAACATTCGAAACATTAAATAATCTTGCTATGTAAGTTTATAATTGATTTAATTGAAAAAAACAGTATTGATTAAATTCAAAATTTCAAAGACGAAACGGATTTCCGGATGATGTTACCACCTACAGTCTGGTTTCAGGATTTTGGACTGCATTCTGTTCTTTAGGCGAAATTCTCGGACCTATGTTTGGCGGTTTTCTAACCGAGAATTTTGGCTTCAAACGATCATCAATGATCATGGGTGTTATTGCAATAGCTATGGTGAGGATAATGATGATAAGAATAATAATTTTTATATTGATTTTGGGTTTCATTTCATTATTTGTACAGGCATTCGTATGTGGTATAACTTGCATCTATTATGATGAATTGAATATTAATGATAGCCATCACAACCATCGTAATAAAAGGCAAAAACCAATGTCCCAAAATCGGACCGGCTCTAATCGTTATTATGGCAAGCAATCATCGGTTAGGCCAAGAAATACTTTGACGAACAACGGAACACAATACCGAAGTAGCGAATCGATACCGCTATTAGCATAACGTTTTTTATGAAACGATCCATTTGTTGCCTCATCTAAAATTAGCTTGTTTGTTTTAAAATTCTCAAATTTTTGTAAATAGTAATTTTTTAAAATAGAAATTTTTACTTATTTTCAACGAATTATTAAATTTTCATGGATATTTTTTTAAATAATGGATGATGATGAATGAAAGCTGTGAGAATGATCATACCGGACAAAATGGAAACCTTTTTCTGTCATCAGGGTTTCAAAAACGTAAGCGGCCACGACATAATATTGTTCATCGATTATTTGATCGAGAATATTATCTTCATCCACGTTTTCATCCATTCGTATTCAACAATAAACTTCATCAAAATGTTGTGCCAAATTTTTCAATCGAACGTGCCGAACACCCAAATTGTTTTCTACGTAAATTTACCTATGATGGCCGATATTTGATGGCATTCAGTTCAGATATAACCAGTGTTGAATTGTATAAATATCAAGGTGCAGCAGCTGCAGCTCAATTACTAAATACGATACCGAGTGGAAATAAAGATTATCTTAGTTATGGAGATGAAAATGCGGAGATAAGACGAAAAATTTTTAGCTGTTTTTTTAAACGTCATCATACGATAACAGTTGCATTGGATGGTGGACAATTAAGCCGAGAATGCAGTCTTTTTACTGATGATAATCGATTTTTAATTGTTGCATCATCATTCGCAGCAAGTGAATCTACAACTTCATTTCATGATCGATATCAAACAAACGAATCGATTCCAATGGGCCACCGTTCTACATATGAAAATTATAAATTTCATATAATCGATATTGATGCTGGCCGTGTGGTTGATAGTATCGAATTCAATACGGACAGAATACAAATTGCCAATAATCATGGAATCTATTTGTACAAAAATATCTTTGCTATATTATCTGTTCAACATCAAATTATTCACCTATATTATATATTACCGAATGGTGAATTTATATTCAATAGAAAAATTGGTCGATTCTGTTCGGAAGAAGATCGTTTACTATTTGAAGATTCATTGATGCAGTCCATGTATCGTCGCTTGAATCAACCGATACCGGTTAGTCATAGACCAGTTGCAGCATTCCGAGAAGTTCCATTCAATTCTCTTAAACATCGAATCATTACGTTTGCATTTCAACAGGCAAGACGTCGATCGATTGAAATTGGTTCACCAAAACCATTATGTCAATTCTATCATGATTTTGATTATTTAGTCAATCTACGAATGTTGAAGATGCAATTATTAGATGAAGAACATTTACTCATCAAATATGAACAGGAATATAGCCTTGTAACATATAATCAACATATTATTAATAAATATGATGCATATAATCAAACCAAACTTTGGAATCTATTTGTTGTTTATAATTGGAAAACGACCGAAGTGTTAAACATTTATCCACAACATTCGCAAACATTATTGTATGCATATGAAAATTTTTGCAATAATTTCCGTCATCCATATGGCTATTATCCATGTTCACCATCGAATAATTATTATGCTCGTGTTGCATATGAAGAATTTAAAAGATCAATTATTGAAAATCGTAATGGCAATTACAATGAAGCTGTCCGTTGTATTCTATCTTTATTGCCTCATCATGCTCAGTTATTGACACCAAGTCCATATCTTGACCTTTCATTATTTTCCTATGATGAAAAAGTAATCGGTTCTAATGAAAAACCTCGACATACAAGTGAAGTGCCAATTCGTTTCTTCAATCGAGATACGGGTGTCCTTTCATTTCGAATGCACACTGGTCAAGCTTTTATGCAGCCACAACGTTTTCCACCTTTACATAATCATCATCCCAACAATCGGCGATTAATTGCATTCATATTTCATCCTACCGATCCCTTTATTATAAGTGTTCAACGTTATAATTCACAATATTTACTTCATTTTCATATTCGTCATTTTAATCCATTGTAAATTTATAAAATTCACTTTTTTCATGAAATTGTGATTTAAGACAAAAAACTACCGTTTGGTAATTTTGTGTCTGTGTTTGTTTTATCATCATCGATCATTCGAAATAAATCTGTTTTTTTCTTATTAATGTAAACTGATTTTATTACGGGATTGATTGCATCACTTTTACAATTGGTACAATATTGTCGAGAAAAAATGTACTAACGTAAATGTCATGCGATAGGTGGCACTAAATGTTCAATGACGTTAATAAAATGTACATTGCAATAATTGGTGGCTGTGTGATCGCTATTTAATATTCACTCATATTTGCAGACATCTGTATTTGATTTTTTAATTTGTTCCAGATTTTCGATTACCTTGGCATTGACCCAAAATTTCTTATCGGATCTTTGAATTTTTACTTTTTTCATTTTTCAGGAAAAAATTTGTTTTCGAAATAATAATAATTATGGAAACTAATCATCATCAAAATTCTCCACCACAACATATATTTGTTCAACCTGGACAGATATTCGAAGATACTCCGGATGAAAATCGTTTTATGAAAAAAGTTAAATCAGGTCCAATGCTTCCTCTTGGTATGTTTTTGTTTTTGTTTTTGTTTATTTTGTGTTGTATTAACATGGAAACAATATTTCAAAATAGCTACGGCTGGATTTTTGGGCATCGCTGGCTATCGAATTTACAAGGCACGTGAACGTGGTGGAATGAAATTAAGTTTCTTTCTTATCCATACACGTTTAGCAGCGCAAGGATTTGCCGTTGCTGCACTTGGTTCTATAGTTTTATGGTCACTTGGTAAACGATTCTATAATTGGTCTACTGGACAATCTCAATTAATAACAGACAATGATTCAAGTTCCAATTAAAATAAAAATGTTTCAAAAAAAAATTCAATCACATTATTGTTAATAACATTTTATTTAAATTTTAATGTTATTTATATTTTCATATAAAAAAAATTCATGCCAACATTGTTAGATGATTATTTTACTTTCGAGTTTCTTTGTTTTTGTTTTTCCTTGATGTTTATTATAATAATACAGAATAGATGTAATAATTGTTTTCACTCATTAAATGAAATATTTTTTTAATTATCATCTTCAATAGATAATGACTATGATGTTGTGGCAGGTGATGATGAAGCTACATTATTCGATGACATACGGATAATATTATCAATGCCCATTTCTTCATATTGTTGTTTAGTGATCCAGAATTGTGGTTGATCTTTCATCACATCGGCTAATACAGAACCACCAATAAAAACCATATCCTTGCGTCTTGGTGGATCTTCAACACGAATTTTGAATTTTTGTAATTTTTGACCATCACCTTTGAGAATACGTTCCAGATATAATTGTTTTATTTCACGTTCTAATCGTGATGGAAGTCCTGGATACATTGTAGAACCACCACTAAGAACAATATGTTTGTAAAGTTCACAACGAAGATCTAGATCAGCACCATTAATCGTATTGAATAGTAATTCCGAAATGCCTTGACCTTCAATATTGACCAAATGTGGTTGAAATAAAGCTTCCGGAGCTTCGAATCGTTCACCACTTAGTTTGATATTACGACCATCGTTTAACTGAAAAAAAATTATGATTATTTCAATCCAATACAGAAGATAAAATAATCAATTACCGTATATGTTTCGGTCAGATATGTGGTCTCTTCGGCTAGTTTTTGTTCCTGTTCACAATTGTATGCAATATAGCACATTTTTTCTTTCAACATTCGAACCGTTTCAAAATCTGCCGTATGATTGAAAGCATAGCCACGTAACAGTAATAACTAGCAATACAAAATTGAGAAATTTGAAAATGAAAGTGAAAAAAATATATTCAAACCTTGATTAAATATCGTGTCACTTCTCGACCGGCAACATCTAATCTTCTGGTAAGATGTGGCATAGAGAATCCTTTATAAACAGGACAAATGTGTGTAACACCATCGCCAATATCGACAACAACACCAGTCATTAATCCTTGTGCGTATAATGTAAGAACAGCTTGTATTGCTATGTATACTGAATGAAATTCATATTTTTCAAACATCATTTGGATCATTTTTTTGCGATTATCAATCGGATTCAATGGCGGTTCAGTAAGTAAAATTCGACTATTTTTAGGATCAATTTGAAGCATATCATAAAATGTATGATCCCATACGTGGCACATATCATCCCAATTTCGAACAATACCCTTTTCCATTGGATATGATAATTCAAGATATGAACGAAGTTTATTCGCTTCATCACCGACCATAAGATCCTAAATAGAATATCATGAAAGAATTTATTAATTAATAAATGTAGGAAAACCTATAGAAATTAAGCAAGAAAGAAAAATCTTACAGATTCTATCATTTCCTCTTTATTAGGCTTTAAATTATAATATTAAAAATTGGTAAGCAATAGATAATTATAAAAAAGCAAAAGTTATGAAATGAATAAGATTTGTATAATAAAAAGCGGAAAAATTTTCATTAAATCAAATTCTACCTTAATTTCAATATCATCAATACGTTGGGCAGCACGAATAATTGGTCGTCCGACTACCGATGGGAATGTATATTTCGGAAAATTTGAACCAGCAAAACCACATTTAACAAACTTTTAACACAAAATAATGTGAAAAAAATATATTCAATTGAAATTTGATAATTCGGAAAGAAAAAAATTCACTTACACCGGTCCCATTATCGCAGACGATAATTTTCTTGCCTTCACTATCCATTTTTACTGATCCAAAATGTAAAGAAAAAACAAAGCGAAAAAAAAATCCGGTCTAAAAAAATTCAATTGATGTTTGACGTTTACAAATTTATTAATCGATAACGGAATTGATTGGACACCAGAACATCATAATAATCATCATAATCATCATCACCAACACCACCCAAATTTTTTATCATCGCGTCACAAAACACACACACACACCAACACAATGTAGTCCAAAAAACTTGGAGTTAGTCAGCCTCAATCTAAAACAGTGTAATCATTTGATAAAATACTGGATTTTATTGATAATAGATGGCACTACAATTGCTGAAAAAAAAAGATTTTAATCGTCTGTTTGATGTGATAAAATTGATCAAATTTTGTTTCTTCATTGATATAAATCATAATTGATTACTATAGATTCTTATTGTCATCTAATTTTTTCTTCATTATATTCTGTTAACATAAATCATGAAAATTAAAACGATAAAAATCATTGATCAAAATGAACAATCTAAAAATTCCATTCACAGATTACATCTAATTAATTGTCAATTTCAAAAAGATTGTCAAAATGTTCCCATATCCGATTATTTTGATAGTCAATTCGATTCAAATGATGAAAAATTAAATGTTTCGTTTCGAGGTCGACCAATGAATGGCCAATCAGTTCGATTACCTGGAAAATTTTCATTTGCAGTCATCGATCCGATAGATGAAACAAAAAATGATCAAACTATCATTGCTCATAAATTAGATGATAAAGCTTATTGTTGGAATTTGGACAAAATTCCTTCAGGCACTGATTCAATGCCACAAGTATTGAATTGGATTAATCTAGCTCAAGAAATTCATTCACATGTTCAACTTGAAGATGATGCATAATTTTTGTCATTTTTTATAAATGTCTCCGTTTGAAACTTTATGGTCAAGATCCATAAATCCTTAATTTGATTTTAATGATTTAAATAAAATTTTTATTTTTTTCAATATTCGAAATCAATGTTTTAATCTAATTGAAAACTTGACCAAAATGCTTTTTACGCGGCATTTTTTAGTGTCCTGGTATTGATGAATTGCTCTGCTAAACACGATGCGTACACATGCGTACACATCTCAGCGAATGTGTGTTTCCCTTTTCCTCCACGTTCCAACACGCGAGCACGGTTTGTCATTGTTTTTGGTTTTTTAAAGAATTTTTGGTGAATTCTTGGTTGTTTTTGTTCATAATTTTTTCTACAGAATAAAAAATGACTAACCCAAAAGGTTACCGACGTGGTACACGTTATCTGTTCTCAAAAGGTTTTCGAAACCATGGTACCCAGAAATTGTCCACATTTCTAAAAGTTTACAAACGTGGCGATATTGTTGACATCAAAGGCAATGGTGCGTTCCATAAAGGTATGCCGCATAAATTCTATCATGGTAAAACTGGACGAATTTATAATGTAACCAAACATGCCGTCGGTATTGTCGTTAATAAACGTGTGCGAACCCGAGTTATACCGAAAAAAATCAATGTTCGTATTGAACATATTTCGCATTCGACATGTCGAAAAGATTTTCTTGATCGTCTCCAACGAAATGATGAATTGAAAAAAGTGGCTAAAGAAAAGAGTGTCTTTGTTAATCTAAAACGACAACCCGAACAACCAAAACCGGGACATTTTATTCGTGTTACTAAGACAAATAAACCCGTCAATCTACGAGCACTTCCTTACGAATTGGTCATTTAAAACAAATTAATGCTTTTTTTTATTTTGATTTAAAAAAATAAATAAAAAACTGTGTTTATTCATTAAAATTTTGTCCATTTCTTTTCAATAAGTAAACTGAAGCATTCAAACCGCCAACGTTTACATGATATGCTCGTTCAAATTTGCAATACTTTTGTGTCATTCGATTATAGATTGTTTTGTTAGCATTCAATTTATCCTGAGTTAGTATAACAATTCGTGCCGATTCCAAACGAGAACATCGTATCATCTCTGTGATCAGCAATGGATATAATTTTTTATTGTCCATTTTTGTTCCCATTCGTTTACCGAATGGAAGATCAGTGACAAATACATCAATTGTATTGTCTCTTATTGGCAATTTGGTTGAATCACATCTTAATAGATCAGTTCGTTTGAATAAATTGTTTGCATCGAAATTGGTCCGGCTCTTATCGATGGCCGTTTCAAAGAGATCTGTTGCGATGACGAAATTTTCATACCAATTTTTTGAACATTCAACCGGTATTACACCTGAACCACATAATGGATCGCAGACAATTTCACCTGGTTGTACATTTGCTATTTGAATGAGATTATAGGCAATTGTTCCTCGTAATGTTGTCAGACCAAATGATACGATATGTCGTTTGGATAGAGATTCTTTTGTCAAACATAATAATATTCGCAACGAATTATCTTTGATGTGAAGCACAACTTCTAAATCATATTGTTTGAGTGAAACTTTCCATTGAAATCGATCATTTACAAGACCACCAAATCGATGTGCCGCATCTTGAGATGTAAATTTATGTACACCACAACGATTACATGAAGTACGGAATGAAGGTATTGCTGATTTATCATCTGGATCAAGTATAGCATCAATGTCTCCGGCGAATTTTATTGCTTCTTTCCAAACACTAATTCCGGTTTTCCAATCACATTTTTCAATCACAGACATGAATATTTGCTGATAAAGGGTGTCGAGATCCATATTAATCATATGTGGATGATAATCATCATAAATAACAGCGAAAATATTATCGATTGAACATAATTTCGAAATTTCATCATAACCACGTTTTGTACGAAAAATGATATGTCCATTCGTGTGATTGATATCCGAACAATCGGCAACTTTTTCTCGAATTTCTTTGCGAGCCAATGATTCCAAACCGGTAGCAACAGTTGCTTCATAAGTTATTATATTCAATCTTTCCATTTCGAAATTAGAAATCAATCATCAATTCGCAAATTTTTATCTTGTTGGACCAGAATGAATGTTTCAATTAAAATACAACAGATGACACTGGAAAACGTATTTTATCAAAAAAAAATCGATATCATCGAGATTCACAATGATCGATTGATATAAAAGCTTGAATGCTTACAAAAAAATTTATCATTTCTTTTGAGTTAGCGACATTGACTGATTTGAAAACAAGAAAAAATGAGTTTCAAAAACATTATTGTAACCGGCGCCAATCGTGGAATCGGATTAGAATTTGTTCGACAATTGTTGAAACAAAGTAATTCGCCGAAAAATTTGATTGCTACCACTCGAAAACAATCGCCTGAATTGGATAGTCTTAAATCGACACATAACAATCTTCATATATTGAATTATGATGCTACCAATTATGATAGCTATGATGACTTTGTCAAACAAGTCGAATCAATTGTCAAAAACGAAGGCCTGGATCTATTGATCAACAATGCTGGAATGGCTATCCGATCAACATTGGAAACTGTCACTCCAAAAGATATTTTAACAAACGTTGAAGTAAACGCCGTTGCTCCGTTGATGTTGACAAAAGCATTGTTGCCATTGTTGAAGGTAAATTATTGAAAATATTAAGTTATGGATCACATATTTAAATGAATCCAAATTTCAGGTTTCAGCTGCAGCTGGGCGTAAGACTTTGGTGGCAAACATTTCTTCATCAATGGGCTCAATCGATGACAATGGTTTGGGTGGTCATTACGCATATCGTGCCAGTAAAGTGACTATGAACATGTTCACCAAATCATTGTCTGTTGACTTGAAATCGGATAACATTATCGTTATGACACTTCATCCTGGCTGGGTCGTTACCGATTTGGGAGGCCCAAATGCATTGATCAATACGGAAACTAGTGTTAGTGGTTTGTTGGATGTATTCAATAAAGCCGATATGTCATCCAATGGAAAATTTGTCGATTTTGCGGGTAAAGAACGTAAATGGTAATTGTTAAAGTTAAACAAAATATTGTTTTTAATAATTCAATTAAATGAAGAATAAACAAACAAATAAAATGATTTTTATTTCATAAAGAAAATCGCAGTAATATTTAAAAAAACAAGAAAGTGGATTAAAAGGTGAAAGACCATGATGACTTGGTGTTTGCAAGCTTTCATATATTTGTATTGACATTGAATTAAAAATAAAAATCAACAAATTATAGCTAAAATAACTGATAATCATTTGGCCGATACTGATGATAATCCATTTGTTGATCCAATCAATTCTTTTTCATCGATTATTGGTATATCGGTACGCCAGTATAAGAATGAATTATAATCATAGGTATTTTGATCGACCAATCTATCTTTGTCTAAAGGTGGAAACATTTGATCAACAAATTGGCTCAATTCACCATATCTGTTTCAATGAATGAATTTGTTAGTAATCAATCAATATTTTGGGAATATTTTTATAATTCAGAAAAAAACTTACGATGATTTAAATGACATAATTTTTTCCAATTTAAGTTCACCACGATGATTTATAGTGAATATACGGCTAATATCAATGCCTACTGCTTTGTAAGCCCAAGTGTCCTTAAGTACAAATCAAATGTATAACAAAGTGCAAATTTTGATAACAATTAAAAACTTACATTGATTTTGTTGCCAAAGCCAGCGAAAAATGGATTCATTGGAAACAATGATTGTATATCTTTCAAACAACTTATCTTGAACTCTTCGGGTTTCTTTTCAATCACTTCACTGTGTGATAAAAATAATTTACGATTAATTGATCAAATTTTTTTGTCTGTCAAAAAAAAACTAACCGATGAAGAGCAGAAAACAATGATGTCGGTGATAACAGAACAGGTCCATCGGGTAGACATTGACCATCTTGACAAACGCTTGTCAAATAATCTCTTGTACCTTTAGCCTGACCGATAGCACGAGCAGATAAATACAAGAATTTATACCCGTTTTGTTCGATGTTTGCATATAGTTTTGTCACGCCTATTTGAGCCCAATCTTTACCGATGTATGGAAGTATATGTCCAAGTACATCGGATTTTGTGATTGTGCCATCAATATCTGATATGATTATTTTGTCATCGTGACGCCAAAGAAAAATTTTACTTTCACAAGCTGTTGTACCCTGATAAGCCGTCGTAACACTGAACATTATCTTATTACATCCATGGCGTAGATTCAATTTCTTTAGAACATCTGAACTTAATCGTAGTACTTTTCGATACTTTTTCTTCGCACCAGTGTTTGAATCTTGTTTGTTTGTTGTTGAATTTTTTGCACTATTCGAGATGATGACTGAATTATAGGTTTCATCATCAGATACATATTCGATGCTATTCGATGAATAATTGTTTGAGCTTTTCGTTGGAGTCATATTAACACTGGATGTAAGATTATTATTGCTGATATTAACGTTGTTAGTTATTGCTTGTTCCGTAGATTGTTGATGATTAGATTCACTTTGTGTTGGCGAACGAAACCATGAACGCCATGATCGAGCATTTTGTGGATTAGCTTTTTTTGGGATACATTTTTCTTTTAAAAGTTGCATCGTCTGGTCCGATAATGGACGTTGAAATAAAAGCAATGAAAGAATCATTGATGATGCCATTTTCCATGTATAATATTCAGAACCCATACGTATTACTAAATTTGGATTATCAAGAATTTGTAAAGGGTTTTCATTGAAATCATCGAATGATATAATTGATTGAAGAAATCGTTCTGTATTATCAGGATTTTCAATCAAATCTTCAACACGTCCACAAAGAGACATTGACATATCGTGATAGATTCGACTTAAACTATACAGATCACCTGGAATCATTAGTTGTTCTTTAACACGGTCAACAAAATCTGAATGAATTGTATCAGATTGTTGATAATTAAAATCGATACTACGTGGAGAATTTGATAACGATTGACCTTTACCGGATTCGATTTCATCATCGCTGCTAGTAGCCGGTATTTTTGTTGAAAGATTTGAAGGTTTCGATGTTAAACTTGAACGAAATTTTGGAAAATATTTGGCTGCTACTTCAGGATTCATATCATTGGGATCTAATTCATCCAGATAGATGCCTTTATCATCATCTTTAGTGGCGTTAAGATCGATGCTAATTGGACCATCTTGTTCTTTAATCATAAAATTCAAAACACCACCAAGCACCGATTTAGATTGATCAGATAAAGCTTCAGGCACGGGCATTGGCATAGAAGATTTCGAATGATCTAAGATCGGAGTCGAATCATTTTTCACATGTGGTAATTCACCCCAATCCCAAGAAATGTAGTCTTGATTCGGTAATTTTTCATTACGAGCCGTTTCAATTTCGGAATCCGATTTATAACATTCGGATGAGATTGATTCGCGTTGTTTTTTCGTATCATATTCACCATCTGAAAATGGATGCAAATCGTTTTCCGTATTATGATGATAAGTATTTTTTAATTGCAGTTCAATCGATGGTTCTTTATTTGGCTGTATGGAATCAGGTAATTCGGGAAAATTCTGTGATAATGATGGCTTTTGTCCGTGTTTGGTTTTCTTTTTCCGTCGAGTACGTTTCTGATTAGATGATGAAGATGAACATGGTGTAGATGTCGATGAATCGGTCGATGATTGATCGATTGCAATTATGCTTTTATTCGTGACCTGAACGATATTTGTAGTGGAGGAATGTATTGGTTCAATGTATGTCGATTCATTATTATTATCAATTATGATTGAATCGGGTAAATCATTTCGCGCAGATGTTTCAAGACTGCTGTCATGTCCTGGTTGTTCACATTTTGGTTCATTATCATTATCGTTGAGCAAATCATTTGTTTGGCCATCTGGCGTTGTTGCAGCAGTATCATCAACGGCTAAAACTTCATTCTCATCTTCATCATCACATTCTTCAAGGAAATATGCTTCACCACTATCACCTAATTTCATATGAATTTCAACTGGTTCATCATTGATTTCAATATCCACCTAAAAAAATTATGTACAGAGATGAATAAGAAATTTTCAAAAAAGAAGAAGAATACTTACAATTTTTTCTCGACTTCGTAATACACCCATTTTACCAAAACGAACATGAAATGGAGAGGTTAAATAGGTGCCATCTTCTTGTTCAACGACAATCACATCGATAGCACCGGTTAAAGTAGCCGGATTTAGTTCACTATATGCTTGGCTAATATTCGAAAATATTTTACCAAAATAATTCATTTTGTAAGATATAAAGTGCTAATTTTTTTGAACATAAAAAAACAATGATGACAAATGATGTGTTTGATTGATTCACGGAAGGTCTGTTTGGAAAATATAAAAAAAAGAAGAAAAAATTTTCGAAATAAAAATGATATTCAAAATCAATTAATCATCAAATGGATGGAAAATGAACGCGATTAAATATATTGACAACAACATTTTTGACAGAAGAAGAGATTTTACCAGCAACAATTGGATGATTTTTTTTTGGCAACCAATCACTAATGCAATGCCAAAATAATATAGAAAATCATTTGAATCTAAGCAGTGAATTTACACTGTCAATATATTTCGTTTTCATTTATTTTTTTTATCGGGTCGATAAGATAAGTGGAAACATCTGACTGAGAGAATTTTGTTTTGTTTTTCGATGATTTAATTAAAATGTTAGACATTAAGATTTTGAATGTGAATCAAGGTTGAATTTTTATTTACAATTTAATCGGACGAGATGAGAAAGAATGAAAAAATTCGTCAACAAATAAAAATATGATGACACCGTATATTTATCCGGATAAATAAGTGATAATCAACAACAATAACAACCGAAAACAAAAACACTCGTCATTTGATGAATTAGTCTGTATTCTCTATCATCATTCATGTGATGTAAACTATCATAATCAAAATAATAATAATTTTATCTGATTGTTAAAAGAAATTACCCAATCATTTTACGTCACATAAGTTGTTTTTAATTTGGTTAGATAAATTAGGAAATCAATTTTTTTTTGTCATTTTTACTAAAATAGCAATAACATTGATTGAAAATATCATGGTGCAACATATATGATGAGATTCTTTATTGATTAGTAAGTATTATAACTTATAACCATCGTGTGATCGTTAGGAAAATCGTATGATGAAAAGTCAAAAATGTTATCACCATTGTTCTCGCCATTTTTTTCCCTCTTTTGTTTATTTTTTTTTTAATACTAATCTAACAAGCATGTATACGTAGCGATTACAAATTATCATCATCATTTGTACATTTACAAAGTATAAAAAGTTATTATTCAAGATTTTAAATATCATATATGTTGACGATGTTGATGATAAAGATTGTATTACATAAACACAATCAAAAAAAGACAAATACGTAATTATTAAGAAATAAAAATTGTAATATTAGATTTCGAAATTAATGTCAAAATCTTTCTCAATATTCTTTCATTTTTTAAATTACTATTACCCCAGACAAAAGAATCATTATCATTATTATTAATTATTATTTTCATTGTTTTGTGTTACATATGAACTCAAATCGAATCGTTTACAATAATAAATCATAATCAGGATCCGAATAGTTTAAAATCAGTACGAAATATATACTTACAATCGTATCTTTTATTAATCATATTGATGATAAAATGAGTCGATCAAGGAAATCAATAAATATAAATAATAAAAATTTTTTTGATCAGAATGATAAATTTATCCTATAGAAAACAAAAATCACATAAACAATAATACTGAGATTGAAATATTGATCCATTTCAACAAAAATGAAACAGAAACAAAAAAAAATTATAACATAAAAAAATCAATTAAGTAAAATTTGAAAAAACAATTATCAGTCTACGTACAATTTACGAAATGAACGATTCATTCAATCTGATGATGAACATGAAGAAAATGTCAGACGATCTTTAACAAATGATTAAAACAATTTTGCCACAGTTGTAATGATAGTGGTAAATGTCGTCATTATTTATTATGGCCACAAAATTTTATTATTTTTTTTTTAGTTTGATGTTTCATCAAATGATTCGACTGAAACGAGAGAGAGAAAAAGAGAGAGAAAATTATTAATCTGGGGAATAACGATAGAAAGAATGAGAGACTCTTTAATTCTATTTGTGTCGCCATCTAATGATGAATAACATCATACAACGGTTACCGATGTTGACTTAATCAATATTGATAAAAATATTTTGGTTTTAAAAAATTCTTTTTTTTTTAATTTTCAAAATTTTATTGGAAAAAAATTGATAAGAAAAAAAGAAATTGACTACATTTTTGTTTTTATTGTTGTAGGAAAATTTTATAAACAATAATTTTAATTTCAGTGTTTCGGGAAATGTAATTGAAAATGAAAAATAATTGATTCAATTCAATTTGGTTATTGAACGTCCAGTTTTAGCCAATGCTTCATAAACCTGATCATAGGTATATGGTTCTTCATTAGATTTTCGAGCCAAAACAATGGTTACATCTTTAGTTTCGACATTCGAATCGACCGATTGTAATTCATCGCCATATGTTTTTGTTAATGATTTTTGTATAGCATTTACACATGCTTGACATGTTATATCGGCTTTAAATTTATATGTTTTTGTTGTAGACATTATGGATGTAATAATGATGTTTGTTGTTCAGTAACTGGAATCAAATGATCGAATAAAATCAATATTCAAATTTTCAACAAACAAACAACTCATTCATCAAGATGTGTACAACATCATTTTTTTTTTGTAATCAATTGTATCAAATTTCTTTGGAATTCTTTCACATTCGATAGATGGCATTATGTTTACACATTTAGAAATAAGGAGGATCTATTCAAAAAAATTTTTAATCTTAACTTTTTGAAATGATAATGAAAAATCAAAGTGGATCGACTTGTTTTTTTTCTTTTGGGATTTGATTTGATGATGTATATGAATTGAAACAAAAATCTAATCAAAACAAGTTATACTTATTTATCACATTGCTCATCCAATATTTCAATTATTTTCAGTTCACTTTTGAATTATAATTTTAGGCAAATAATGAATCATATAGGACAAATATAATGAACATAATGATCGACAGCAATAAGCCTATCATACGTTTCAAAAATGTTAAATTGATTAAAAATGGTCGTCTAGTGGTGGATGATTTATGGATTCAAGATGATATCATAATAAATCCTGAACCATTATTTTTCGAACAACAAAAAGAAGCCGATATTGTTGTCGATTGTCAACGGGCAATTATTGCACCCGGTTATATTGATCTACAAATTAATGGAAAGTATTAAATCGTTTGATTTAACAAAAAAAATTACAGCAACTTTATTTTATCTGTTTGATTTGATAATTCTAACAGGTGGTTTCGGCTATGATTTTTCTACACCTGAAATTGATATTAATCAAGCGCTAAATGTGGTCGGTACAAATCTGGTTCGTTATGGAGTGACATCATTTTGTCCAACATTAATCACCCAACCATCATCAAATTATCGCATGTTATTACCTCGTATGAAACGTGGTCCAATTATTGGTGGTGCAAACATTTTGGGCATACATGTTGAAGGTCCCTTTATAAATCCTGAGAAAAAAGGTGCACATCCTGAACGATATATTCAAAATGAAATTAATTCGATTGAACAAATTGAACAATATTATCATGATTTATCAAATGTATCTATTATGACGATAGCACCCGAATTAGATAGAAACAATGTTTGTAAACAACTTGTATGTAAAGGTATCGTAGTATCATTGGGACACTCGAATGCCTGTCTTGATGACAGTGAAAATGCATTTCGTAATGGTGCATCGATGATAACACATCTGTTCAATGCAATGCCATTATTTCATCATCGTGATCCAGGTTTATTAGGTCTATTGACCATCGATAGTGAACGACAAATGTACTATGGTATCATAGCTGATGGAATTCATACACATTATTCAGCATTACGATTAGCATTCTATGCAAATCGTACCGGAATGGTTCTCGTTAGTGATGCCATATCAGCGGCTGGTCTTGAAACTGGTCTACATAAAATTGGTTGTGAAATGATTGAAATCAAAAATGATCATGCATATTTGGCCGGTACAAACACATTATGTGGTTCGATTGCGACATTGGATCATTGTGTTCGATATTTACAATCAAAAGTACCCGATTGTTCGATAGTCGATGCTATTGAATGTGCAACATTACATCCGGCACGTGTACTTGGTATTGAACATCGAAAAGGAACACTCGAATTCGGTGCAGATGCAGATTTCATTATACTCAATGATCAATTAGAAATTCTATCAACATTTGTAGCCGGAAAATGTGTGTTCATCGATTCCGAACGAATGAAACAAATGAAAATTGAAATAAACAAAGTGTTTTGCACATGAAAATTTTAATAATATAATAGGGGGTAGCTCATAATGACGAAAAAGAAAAAAAAATCACCAACAATAAAAAATTTTCCATTTTTATAATTTTGCGCTCAATGCTATAAATGTGACTAAATTTCTCTATTGTGATTGTGGCTGTTCATCAATAATTTCTTTAAGTCTTGTGTGAATACTTTCGATTAGATCGAAATTCTGTAATGCAAGCATGATTTGTTTATGTTCCTGTTCGATGGTCATTTCTGGTAATTTTATTGGCTTTTCATTCGGATAAATGACAACCGATGTATCGGCTGATGATGATTGATTTTGTCCTTTTTTCTTCTTATTTCCTTTGCCTGTCGGTTGCTGTTGATCATTTTTGTTCATTTTCAATTTCATCTCTTTCAATTTACATAGCTCCAATTTACAACTAATCCGTGATAATTCTAATGCCTCCTGTAGTGGTTTCAAGAAATTTTCCTGTATAACGATAATTATATCCCAGAAACGTGTATGGTTCTGATGACGTGGATCACGAATCATAATGTAGCGAAGAAAATTCAATAAACCAAATATTAGATCATTTCTTTCGAGTAAATCCGAATTGGCATCTTGAGGTAATGCAACACTAATAACAGATCTAATCATTCGATGCAGATTGTTTCCCTGATAAACTTGATTTTCGAATACAAAATCTTTATACATTTGAATGGCTACGCTTTGAAATCCGGCATGTTGTCGTGGTTGTGATAATATTGGATAAAGAATCTTATAACGTCCAAGTGGTTCAAAACAATTTACTAATTGTTTGAATAAGAATAATGCTGTCGTACGGCTATGCTTATCCAAGGCGAATACCATGATAGATGTTAATGATTTTTCGATCGGATGTTGACGAAGAAGATCAAGAAAATTTGCCTCTAAACTTTCTTCTTTAATAGGTGCTAACATTGCTGCTAACAGATAAAGACCTTTTTCGTAAACAAAAAATTGCTGATCTTCCACCAGATTTCTTATGTATGGCAGATGTATTCCAAGATTATATACATGTGTGTAGACACGTGGCATAAAGTTCGAAGGAGAAAGCTCAGATTCGGTGGCTAACAGATAGCTCAGAATAGACATAGCTGATTGGAAATTTGTTTGTGATAGATAAACATCAGAACAATCGGAATTCGATTCCACATCTTCAGACGATGTTATTAGATCGGTACGTGACAATAATGTGTAAAAATTTGAATGCAATGATGATATTAGCCGTACAATTTTAACGGCAATCATTCGACTTGTAATAAAATCTTCATTAAACAATGCCGATAGATTTGTACCTGCTTGTTTAATGTCTTGAATGATACTTTCTTTGCCACTAACTCGATAAAGATCCATATATTTAAGCGGGTATTCAAGCATTAGTAACAATGTTTTTAATAATATTATACGTTGTATATTTGGATCTGATGTTTTCGAATGAATATTTGTTTGATGCTGATGATTAGTGGTTGGATTATATAAGTCAACCTCTTTGACAAATGTTTCGAGAAAATCCACATACATTGACAGTACAGAATTTAGATTATTTACCACCGGATCAAGCATCAATTTAAAACGATCATCTGTTTCTGGGTTGAATTTGGTTATCGAACTTAATGATAACCTACTTATGTGTTCGTTCAGTGAACTCAGCACTGATTTCAAAGTTTCATTTCGTTTTTTCGGTAATTTTAATAAAATCACTTCAAACGGCTTGAGTAATGCTTTGAAACAATTACTATCGGTTATTTCTATGTCGACGACATCATCTTCATTTTCATTATCATCATTCGTAGTCCTGGATGATGATGTTTGTTCTTGATTAGAATCTTTACGTTTTGAATACCTGGTTATATTTAAATCATTTTCAAGCTCTGATAAATAAATGATCAAAAGCTCTTTTGGATTACAAATTTCACACAGGTCAAGCAAAATTTGTCGACACATGCTAAATGTTTTAAAACGAAATTCACTTAAGCCACGAAGACGTTGACATATAATCGGTACTAAATCCCATACAATATATGAACCATTATTATGTATTTCGGTGACAACAACACGATTAAACATGTCCCATACTTCACGCATACGATGACGATCAAGATCATATTGAAATAGTTGCAATATGGAATCTTTTTTATCTTCTGAATTATTCAATGAAGATGTATTCAGATCAGTAGATGATGGCAATGTTGTCATTAGATCAGACATTGTTCTGATTGATTTGTAAAACTTTAGTTTGAATAATTAAGAATCAGCAACAGGAGGATTGTTTATTTTTAGGAACAATAACAAAAATTATATAGGATAAAATACAAATACAAAAAAAAACTTACAAGAATATAATTGAATATAAAAATGAACAAAATTAATTCAAAAAAATTTTCAAATCAATAATTAATGATGATGGATGATAGCTATTATCATAAGCATCAAGATGGTAATTTAATGATAACCGAATCGAACACACTAAACACGATCAATTCTATTGAATGAATGTAGCACGCGTATAAAAAACAATAGGACACTATTTCTACAAATAAAGACTTGTATAAGTGGAAATAATGAAATCGATTTAAAGGCGCGTACATTCGAATCTCGAAACTTTTTTTGTTTTAATTTTTTTTTCACGAAAAAAACATAAACATAACTTAAATATGAGGGAGTGAAGTCGAAAAAACAGAAAAACAAAGTTCAATAATAATTTTACATCAATCGTTCCGATTGTTTTGGTTATGAAATATTCATGAAATCATTTCATTTTAAACATTAATAATAGATATATATTGGTTTCTTGAGAACTGAAAAATATAATAATAGAAATAAAACAAGAAAAAAAATGAAATAAAAATCAACAGGTAGAAAGAATGAGAGAGAAAAAAATGAATAAGAAATTATGAAATAGATAAAAACTTTTTGAAAAAAAACAATCGATCGAATCGAATTGAAGCTGAGATAGTATAAGGTTGAATCATCGGTTGATAAAGGATTAGATTCGATTAAATCTATTTTTTTGCAGGGTGATCGATAAATTCGTTTGTTTCTGATTTCAAGAGATTTTCGATCAATTTGATGATGATGGTTGAAGTGGAATTGAGATGGTGTTGAATGATTTGAATGCGAATGAGAAAAAATTTGTCTGTTTGCCAATAAGTGAGAATTTTTTTTCAATGAATTTTCAGCGTTTTCAACGTAGTGGCGGTGGTGTTCATGTGTGTGTGATAAATGTTTAAATTCTTTATACAATTTAGGAATAGGTTAACATTTTGTTTTGTAAATCAATTGGAAAGAAATTTAATAAACATTTTGTTCCTTTGGAACAGCAATGAATGAAAATTTCTTGGGTGAAAAAAGAGAGATTTTGGATTTCAAGTTGAACAATTTTTTTCTGATGATAGGATGCATAATTATGGTGTTGTCGATTCTTTTCTTATGAATACCATTGATAATCGAATGCAAAAAAATTGATTCAATTATCCAAATAATTAGTCCAAAAATCGAATTTCCAATAATTGAGAGATTGTCAAATCATCATTCATATTTGGTGAGTTGCAATGAATTTTGAATATATTTTCGTCATTTTATCTCATCTTTTTAATCCGACTTTTTACAATATAATTCTTTAAGTGTTTTCAATTCTTCAATCAGTGCTTTATTTTGATTCTCCAATACGGCCACTCTATTTTCAAGGCACTTGATGTATTCTTTCTTTTTTCGACGACATTCTTTTGCCGCTTCCCTGTTTCGCATATTTTTAAATATATAAAAATTTGAAAAAATTGCATTTTTAAATAGTCAATCTAAAAAAATTAACGAACCTATTTTTAAGTAATCTCATTTCACGTTTTTTCAATGCTTCATCCATATTATGTGATGATGGTAATTGTTGTGTGGTCATTACGACATTTTGTGTAAGTGCTGATGATTGATTATTTGTAGGTTGTTGTGGCGGAGGAGGAGGCCTTAATTGATATGTTTGCAGATCTATGTGATTTTATTTGATTGAAAATAAATTGAAATTCATATCATATTTTGCATAATAATGATTGAAAAACTTACCGGGAACAATGAATTGGCCATCATGTGCAGCCGTTGCATATTGTACAATGGTCGAACCGGTCGTATTCGCATTTGTCATTATGGTAGGTATACCTTGAATAGTTGTTGTACCATCATGCGTTGATCCAATCTGTATTGATGGTAACATTTTAATATAGCTCTCTATTGGTATTGTTGTGGCCGTTTGTTGTGATGCTGATGATGTATGTGTTGCGTTCGATGATTGTTGTTGTTGTTGTTGGCCTGATGTTGGTGAATGTTGCTCATTATTATTATTGTCATTATTTGTCGATTTTCGTCCTTCCATACAGGATACTGTATTTGTTGATGTAACAGGTGTATCAACGGTAGATGATAGATCATTTAAAATTTTTCTATATGATGGTCGTCGGGCTAAGTTTTCACGTCGTCTTTTTGATTCATCTTCATAGATTGTTGTTTCATTCTCTTCTTTCACCATCTGTATGTTTGATTGTTCGGATTCGGTACTTTGTATTACCGATCCATGTGCCAATTTATTTACTAATATGACATTTTTAGGGAACTAATCAAACAAACATTAAAAATGATTTCATTTTGAAAACATTTGAATCGCAAGCATTCAATATTAAAGCAGATTAAATGGAAAAAAAATTTACCTGAATGGTCGAGATCGGATTGGTCGGCTGTATAACCGACTGATGATTCGGTTGTATGACCGATTGAACCATTGTGGTGGCAGCGGTAGCAGCAGATTGATTTGTTGGTAATTGAAATTGTACAATCGACATACTACCGGCAGTTGATGCAGATAAAGCTGAAGTTGTTGCAACAATACTATTGTCACCACCTATGCCAGTTGATGAAGCGGATACCATTAGACAATAATTTTAATTTCGATTTGAATCTTAATTACACAAATGAATAATAATAATAAATATTAATCATAACGGTAGAATCTATTTCTGAAATCAATTATGGCATTTCACAAAAAAAAATAACAACAACAACGAAAATGGCAGTAAAAATATGAAAAAAATATTGAATTTCAGATATTTCATTCATTCTGATAAAATCAAATAGCCACCAAAACAAATAATACCGACCAACATCATCATCATCATCATTAGACACACGTACCTGGCAATAAACGCAATTATAACAACAACAACAACAGCAACCATGCACGTACATTCAATATTGCAATGGTTATATTATTACCTGCATTTTAACAAGATTTATGGCAATGGGCAATCATGATGTTGTTGTTGTTGTTGATGATGATGATGATGGTGGTGGTGGTGGTCGGCTGCAATGATGATGATGATGATTATGATGATGGTGGTGGTTGTCCTTGTTGTCATTTATTTTTCTCATTTACCTGTAGCTGATATTTATCGTTTTTTTTTCTCTCTTTCTCTTTTTAATTTTCACTTTCACTTTTTTATGTATGAAAAAATGTTTAATGTTGTTGATATTTTTTTTATTTTTGTTTCGAAATTCAAATGAATCAATATTATCAATGGCGAGGTTCGAGTTGTTTCGTGTTTCAAACGATGATAGTCAAAATAGAATCGAATGTTTTTGATTTTTCAATGTCGAAGTTTTTTTCATTTCACATACAAAACAAATTTTTGAGATAAAGAATTTTAATTTCAAAAAAAATTCAACAGTTTTTCATTTCATACAATGATCATAATAAATGATGATATGATGATGATGACGAAAGTGTTGAATTTTGTTTATTTATTTTTCTTTGGTAATGGGGAATTTATTTATTTTTTTTTACAATGAAAAGATTTTAACCACATTTATATGAATGAATCGAATATTTGAAAATTTCAATTCGAATGTGAAGATAGATCTTATTAAAATTGGAAATGCCAAAAACGAAAACAAAAAAAATTATTTAACCACCAATAATTTCAAAAAGAATTGATCATAATAGAAGAAGAAAATTCTCATTCATGGTCACACAGGAACAATATGGTCTTTTTTTGACAAAAAAAAAGGGGGAGAAAAAGAGATAGTGAGAGTGGGAGAGAGAGAGAGAGAGTAAAAAACCAAACCAAACCAAGCCAAAATATCGGTATGATTTGGTTTCGATGGTTATTCTAACGCCAAAGAGCGAAGTAGGAAAAAAAATGACGCCAACTTTTTTGTCGTCTTTTCTTTAAAAAAAAATCAATGATGATGACGACGATGACGACGACGACGATGATGATGATGATGAAAAAAAGAGAATGACGATACGCGATGTTTTCGTCGTATCTTTTCCTTTTAGGTTTGTTTTAGGATTTTTTTGGTTTTTCGTTTATATTTTTATTTATTATTACGTTTTATTGGGTCGCTCGCGTGAATACTTTAATCTTTTACTCTCTCTCTCTCTCTCCCACTCTATATATCCAGAAAAATATTTTCCGTTATCGCTATATGGTTGATATATTTTTATTTGGTTTGTTTTTTTGCTTATGCTTCTTCTGTTTGGGTGATAAATGTTGTTCAAAAGTATGTATTGCGCTAATGTCGAGTGTCTTCATCGTGTCGATATGATGATGATGATGATGATGATCATCATCATCATCTATATAGACATAGAATACACATTCTATATATGATGATCTTCAAATCAACCGAAAACGTTGACGTGAAATACACAAACAATTCATTAGAATCCTTAAAATGTATTCGGAAACCAGGGAGAGAGAGAGAGAGATAGAGAAAATTTAAATGTTAAGAAAAAAAAAACCAACCATATAACATTGTTGTTTTTTGTTATTTATGTTGACGTCATAGCAACGCAATTTTTGCGAAAAATGACGCCAACATTGCGTGTATTTATCATCATCATCATCATCATCATTATGATCAAAAAAAAAAATCATAATCAAAATTGTATATAAGAGATGTTATCATTATCAAACATACACTCGATTTTTACAATATAATAAAAATCACATAAATTTATATAGTAAATGCCAAATCATTCAATTTATTTTGTCAAAAATATTTACTTTCCCCTTTGTCTATATACCATTTTCTCTATATCTTTTTTCTTTCTTTTTTTTTGGTCAAAATGATTGATTCTTTGGTCTATATAGAGAATCAATGCTCCAAACAAAATGTTGTATGGTTTTCCTTTTGAATTTTTATTTTTTATTTTTGGTTGGTTAGCAGTGGCGCCAGCAGCTGCATAACTAATTATGAGAAAAAATAAGGTAATGAGAATATCAAAAATTAAAATAAAATCCAAGCTTGATGTATCATTTGAAATCATGTTTTTTTGTTTATTTGCTTTAGTTCATAATTGGCATCATATCAAATTTTTGTTTTGTTTTGTTTAAATTCTCAATGAATAAAATGTTACACAGGCGCATTGATGATATGAAAAAAAAATGACAAAATGAAAACGAATGAATTTATACGACAAAATGACAAACAATATTTCGAATGATAACGAAGAAACTGTTTATGAATACAATGAGTAGAAGAAAAATTATCAAAAAAAATTTTTCTGGTTTTTTTTGGCGCGTCATTTGATTAGAACATTTTTTTTCTTCTTCTGTTTTGTTTATAATTTACCACCAAAATAACCCACGAACAAACAAACAAACAAAAAAAATCACGAGACACAAACTCGTGTCAAAATATTTAGTTTGTTTAAAATATAACATGAAATCCGGATCCTTCAACTGGATATTCAAAAAAGAATCATTCATTCTTCTTTCTAAACTAACCAGCGAGAAAAAAACGATGCAATATTTTTTTTGTATTTTGTTTTTACTAATTGTGTGTGTGTGTGTGTAGATAAATCTAAATCATCAATTAGAAGGATATCCTCTGTTCGAAAAGATAATTTTCTTTCTTTTTTTATGTTTATACGCATTCAAATTTGATTTTTATTCTGGTTTCCTCGAAAAAAAAGCGCCAAAAATCAATCAAGAGGCGTTGAGAAATATGGTTTTTGCTCATATCACAAAAATAACAATTTACAGTTATTCATCCAGCAAAAACAATAAACATTTTTACAAAAAGGAAATAATCATTGATGATGATGGCAGTAAAATTTACATTTTTTTTTTCTTACTCAATGATGATGATGACGTAGATCATCGACATGAACCAAACAGAAAAATGATGATTCAATTCAATTTTGTTCGCGTCCAACACATATAAAAAACAACAAAAGTTGGGCGGATGAAATGTTTGAATTTTTTTTTTTTTTTTTTTTTTTTTTTTTTTTTCAATAAAAAATCCTGAATGGCCCCTGCTTTTTTTTTTTCCTTTTGAAT